GCTATATTTATACCGTTCTGCCATTTTTAAGCGTCTGCCGAGACTCACTTTATCTCCTGAGGTATACAATGTTACCTGCCTAGATAGACCGTATGATATCCCTTGGTAAAACATCGCACGTGTAGAGGGAGCGATAATCCACTCAGTGACGTCATGTTTTGTTCACCTCCGTTCCCATCTGTAGGTTGTTTTTAACTGTCGTCTGCCATGCCCTAGAATGATCTTTATTCAACCCAACAAAAGACGGACACGAGGTTGAATAGAATGCAATTAAAGTAAATGTTTGGTATTCCTATCCAAATATGATAAAGTCATAACATCTGTTAAAAATACTACACTCCAGATATAATGAGATCAAAATTATGACAAACACCCTATTAGAGTATATCAAATAAAATATACAGTAAAAACCATGAGAATGTTTGAAATTTTTTCTTTCCTTCCGAACTGTGGTCGGTTCACACAGTCATGGTTCAAATGGCCATAGTGAGGTACACCGAAATGACCAATACACAGTGTGTTCACACGATTAACACTATGGAAAATGTTAGAAACTGTTTCATGTTAGGGATGTGGTTTGTACTCTTTGTAATTCCCTCTGTGGCCAGAGTGCGATATATTACGTCAAGCAATGTTTCGTATTCATTCCTTCTAGTCCTACCAGGCTATAGACTGTGGCTCGTGAAAATTCCCCAAATCCTTACTAACCTCCTCTTTGCGCATGCGCTGAGAATCCAGTCGTTGCCTCTTCCTGTGAACAACCAAAATGTTCAATACTCACCAAAGTTGGAGTCTTAAAAGGACACTTCGTTCTTTAATACAGCACAAAATCATAAATAGAATGACTTCAATTATCTCTAAAAACATCACTCATCCGTAGCCAGTTAAGAGAGGTAAGGAGTGGCCCTCAAGCACAACCCCCGCCCCCAGAAAAGAAAGACACACGGCACATTTTAACAAATAAGGACAAGAGCCCCAAACCCCCAAGCTTCCAAAGCCGCTCAAAATCATTCTTCTAGAACCCGCGCTTTTGTTATTTACCCACATACCCCCTTCTGGCTCTTAAAGACGCCCTTCGCTCCTCGCATCCTTGTGGTAGCTCTTCGAGCTCCGCGGTTCGTTAACAATTCATACGCTCCTTTACGCGTTAACCACGGGCGGGCTATTCCTGAGTCGAAACTGTCACAGTGGCAGGGGATCTTTTCCTTCATCGTTCACGCGTCCTAGAGGCGATCACTCATTGTGAGGGGTAGGGGTACTTTGATATAAAAAAAAAAGAACCCCAAGTACTTTGCAGATCTTAACATTTCCTGCAGATTTGTTCTTCTTTGGAAGACAAGTATGGCAATCTTTGCAGACAATTTCCCAAAAGCGAAGCTAACAAATCCTTAAAAATTGTCAATTTCTCAAATTTTCCTACTTATATCTATACAGAGCTAGTCTTGACTCGAAACTTTGATTTAAAAAAAGAACTTCTGGAATTATAATCTGTTTAAGAAAAATTTCTTTCATTTCCATTTTTCTCATTTAAACGATTAAGGTATGACGTTATACATGATTCCTCTCCTAAATTTTTCCCTTCCTTGAACTACCTTGACAAATATTATATTATAATTTTGTGATTATTTTTCAGGGAAACAAAATGCGGCTACTTCTAGTCTGCTAATATCAATTAAATCAAAAAATGTCAAGGACACCACAAATTGCTACATAACGACCGAAATTATAGGAAAGTTATGAATGATGGCCGCAGCAATTTGTTGTAATTTCATTTATTCCACTGGTGTACTTGTTCTTTTAGAGATATGTACGTATGACAGATCAATTCGAAATATGCGCCATTTTGTCATTCGAATTCCATTGACTACAAGGGTAGAGTATTAGTTGAGAATTATGAAATCATATTATTCATAGAATTTTGTTTAAGACAGTCGTAACTTTTGATCCTCTGAACACAACCCATTTTTATTGTTGAAAAATTACCATTTTCAGTTTAATTACTGGTAGTTACTTGAAAGATTTATAGGCTTCCGATTGGTCACATAGCCGGCTATATTAGACCCTATGAAGAATAATATGATAATGATGATAAGCGTCGATAGATGAGCTAATAGATGAATCATTAATGCATACATAACTGAATAGACAAATACATAAATAAATTAGATTTAATTAAATAGATGATTGAGTGAATTATTTAATACAGAAATTAATAAGTCAGTAATAACAGGCTTGAATATTGATAACTGATTAACTTTTTAGTTTGATTCACAAAAGTTAATCTTTTAAATAACTTTTCGGGAAAACGCCGAAAGGAGAAAAAATGTGCAAAATCCTCAAATTTATTTTAAAAAAAAATTCTATCTATTCCAAAAGTGACAACTCCCTTAATGGAATTAAATTTCCACAAAACGGCATTATTTCCCCGAACCAGTTTTTCTTGTCCCTCCGAAGTAATAACGTTTCAGGAAAACGCCGAAAGGAGAAGAAAAGTGCAAATCCTGGAATGCATTAAAAACACATATTTCTACCTATTCCAAAAAGCGAAAACTCCCTTAATGCAAGTAAATTTCCATGAAACGGCATTATTTCTCCAAACCATTTTTTCTTGTCCCTCAGAAGTAATTAAATCTAATTTATGGTAATATAAATAGAGGTTAGGGATCTCATAGCGATGACCTATCCCACATTGTGTATCACACATGGAATTCTCGCTCAAAGGGGACAAAACTGAGGAGAAACCCCAAGTTAAAGAGTGTAAATAATTGAAAAGGGGAGCTTGGTTTCCAAAGGTCATATTTCAGGCGCCATGCGGGACGTTGCCAGACTAGAAAGGGTTTACTAAAATAAATCACTGCGCCTTTAGCAAACGAACCAGCAAATGATGAGCTTAATAATTCTGCCTCATTAGAGCAACGAATTGATTTGTCTTCTTTAAAAGCTTTTATGTGGAATAATAAGATTAGAATTATATGATGTCGTCCCGTCTGTAAACCAACATGTTGACATTGATGTTTTCTAATATCTGTTTATTTACAAGTTGTTCTAAGAGGTGATGTTGTTGTTGTTTGGTATTATCGGCGTTTGGTATTTATAGGTTCCCATTTTCAATGGTAATGTATTAGAAAACAATATATTGGCTAAGGTGATCAATTCAACTACATGATAGAGTATGAATGTTTACCTTGTAGAGCAACATGTTGACTTTAGCTTGCATTTCATGTGTATCTTGATAATTATTTATGGGATTCGGTCAATCCAATTTCTAACTTTTTTTACAATTGTATTTATGCCACTTAATGGGAATTATTAATAATTGTGATGGAATTAAATCGTTACTTTGTGCATTTAAAGTTATCAACCCATTTTTTTTTATTTCGTAAGTATCAAACTGGACAATTAAAACCAAAATACATATATTTAAAAAATGACATTTAATTTTGTCGACCAATACCCTTATTATAGACATCGTTTCGTAGCTTAATTAAGATTACACATTTTACATCCTTTCCTAAACTTCGAGATAAAATGAGGTATTTCTTAAATCAATGTTGATGAATCTTACATAATTATAACTTACCACTCATAATCATATTGATATAGCGCACGGAATAACAATTTACAATACATTATTTTGAAACAAAGGGATATTTATGCCGTGACACATTCAACTAATGAGAATTTATCTTTTCTCCATTCCGTTCACCCGAATACACGCCACCCCGTTGTATTCACCACGTGTTTATCCATTGTGTTTGTACCCTCATCACGTGATGTGATGTTGCGCATGCTCCCCGACCTTTGAACCTACTAACTCCTACAAACCCATCTACTAACTGCATTAAACCCAATAACCTGTTAAATCATTTTATTCATGTATTTTTACCGAATCTCACTTATCAACTTGTCCTTATTGACCCCAACTAATCCTGTCAAACCTGATTAACTCTTTATCCATTTTGTTAATGTGTTTCCCTTAAAATTCGCTTACCCTTATAAATTGAAATACTCTTCAATTCTTTTTGCTCTGTAAAACCTGCTGACATCGTCTTATTGTTCATGTATCTTCGCTGTATCTCCAAAACCCACAAACTCTACGACAAATAACAAATAACTTTTACCAACTTCCTGTAAACCAATGTTCTGCCGACTACTTGCTGTTCTTGGAATCCCCCGAACCTCTTACTTCTAAACCCTTTGTGTGACCCTTAAACCTATTCCGTTGTGTCTCTCCTCCTATCCTTTTCCGATACCCACAACGCCGACTACTAACCATCACTCCCCTTGAACCAATTTACACTGCCTAAACTATCTTTAAATCGCTATTTTGAACAACCCGTATTCCATGATGAAAACCCTCGATTAAACCTAAAACTCAATTTTCATCTGTTCTCCCTATGGTTTTCCAAACACGTTTACAAACCCAACAACGAACCTTCCAAAACTCGATTGATCTCTGAACCATTTCTCATGACTCGCTTCCCCCACCTAAATCTCCCACGAGTCTATTCTCGCCATCCATCAACTTCTCTTTACCGATTTATGTTTGTCAACACAATGTTGTGAAATCTGCTTATCGACCCATTTCTCTTCTTAAAATACCCCCAAATCACCCCTGCATCCCACCGACGCATCGACACCAACCCCCGTTTCTAATCAATCTTGCCCCTTCATTTACCCTTATCGCTCCGGAATACCACCCTCAAATACTATTTTTGCTCCGGAATATCTCCCTTCACTTACCCCTTTCGATCCGGAATACCTCTATTCACTTACCCCCGTCACTATGGAAAACCCCACTTCACTTACCCTTTTCGCTCTGGAATACCCCCTCCCCCTTTACACCCCCTTCGCTCCGGAATATCCCCTTCACCTACCCTTTCGCTCCGGAATACCCATTTACCTACCCTTTTGATCCGGCATATACCCCTCACTTACCCTTTTTGCTCCGGAATACCCTCACTTACCCCCTTTTGCTCCGTTCCGCGATCCTATACCAGTTCCCTATCGACCTTCCCTACGTTTCCCCCGCCAAATAAATGCACCAAATCCAGAGCTGTTCCAAGGGAGGATTATCATCGGATCCACGGCTTTTACAGAGCCAATTAGCAACAGCAAATGTGCCCAAGAGGTGGCCTCTTCGGACACCCAGTTCCCGGGGTCAATGTACAGAAATTGTACAATGGCCCCGAAAACTACACCACCGGGTAAGTAAAAAAAAACTTAAACGACCCCACCCACGAATACCAACTACCCCAACTTCAAATGCAACACGGTTCCATGTAAAAATGCAGACTAAAATACTGGCTTAGGTGTTATGAGGATACCACTTAAGAATGCCACTGAAAGTATCAAGTAGAAGTTCTTGTTCTTTCAAGGTTTTTTTTTTTCCAAAAATGGTCCGAATTGAATACGTCACGTTTTTTTGTAATTTTCTCCTCATGAATTAGACTCCTTGAAACATGATTTGATTCATTTTTTTTTATTTTAATGTTTTGAAATATGAACATACCAAGATGTATTCTGAAAATAGTAAAAAGCAAAAGAAATGAAATAACACGAAATGGATCTGTATCAACCGGCAGTCTTCTCTAGCAAAAAGCAAATTAGTTCCTCCTAAAGGAGAGGAACAAGGAGTCCTACCCAGTTGTTCGAAAATAGTTTATTTCTAATAAAAAAAAACTTGGGGTTACTTCCTAATCAAGATATTCTATCACTCTCTGTGTATTATAACAATGGACTTTTTTTATGCGATGAACGAATTTAAACATATTTTTTTTAAGAAAAGAAGACTACTAGATAAGTACTGAGTAAATTTGTAATTGTCATCGTAAACAAACAACTTCAGCAGAAAGTGCTCAATAACTTCTAAAACGACCCAGGTTAATAAAAACCCTTCAAAATACTTAAGAAGAAATTGCAAATTTCTATTTTCTCAATATGACAAATTTTTTAGTGCAGTGTTTAAAACTGCAGGAAACTCACGTACATGACACACGTTACTTAATTTGTGGCTGCATTTGTATTACTAATGAATCGTTAAATAGTGGTTGTTTGAATCGGTTGTTGTTTTGGTTTAATAATATTCATGAAGGCCTAGCAATAACCGCTTAGTTTGCTGTCGCTTGATGATGTTCATAATCATATTGAAATTGCACAGTAGAAAGATATTATATAGTATAAAGAATAGCACGTTAGCAGTATTTTGTTTGATATCATATTATGTTTTCCGATCGCCTAGAAATAGAATTCCTGTTCGAGAAATTCCAGTATTTATGCATGTGTTTTCAACTGCTTGCTCGATTAAAGAATTGTATAATTGTTATAGAAATTCAGTAATCATTTTTTTTTAATTGTTTGGTATTTAAAAACTAGTTTTGGTAACTACACCTCTTCTTTGTAACAGCGAGAGCAGAATTTTGTTTCTGTTCATTGTTTGCTATGTACTACTCAAAGAGGTTTTTAATGCTAATCAAATTTTTTTGTTAACCAAGCAGACCATGCAAACACACTTTTGCCATTCAACAAAACTGGAGATAGATTTCCATATCGTAAAATGTGAACATTCATGTATTGTCTTCACAGAGCTGTTATATTAGGAATAAATAAGCAAATAAGGAAGATAATTTGAAAACGCATATAGCGCTCTAGTTGTAATTCCCATCGGAAACACGGCTAATTGGTCAGTGAAACATAAGCCAATATCTATACCGTACCACCAACATGTTCAATGGGGCGCATACAATTAATATTTTAATCCTTGGTCATACGGTGCAGTGGTCCGCAGTATTTAAAAAATGGCCCCACGCCCAGTTGGTCATATATTTATATACTGATATGAAATAATAATATATTTCAGTATTTAGATAATGAAACAAAACAGGCGAAGAGACAACTCATGTGTGATTTGATTCTAAATCCTAATACTACATTTGTTAAGGAAACTGGTTTAAGACTTTTTCTCTCATCGAGCAAATTGTTTGTGGAAAACAAACCAAATAAAAAATGGTGAAAAACCTTTAGCTATATTATAGTTTGCATTATATTTATTCATGCTATAACCGTCTTACCACTACACAGACTTAATGAACTCCATCATCCTCAATTGGCTTTACTTCGCAATCAGTGTATTATTGAGAAATATTTCCAAAAGGCACCACCTCATGACATACAGTGCCAGTTGATGGTCTTGAATGATTTCCCTATGGTCGCAAACATTTTCGCCATTTATTTCCTCCACCGTTGTTGGATGTTGCCCTTAGAGAAACGTCAATAATAGATGAGCAATCAGGTTATAAACTTTGACGGTCTTTGCACTCTCGCTTAACATACCTTATATAAATAATTTCAGTTTGATTAGGTGCAGTAATTAATCCCGTCACCTCTGTCAAGAAAAAGAACTAAGACTTTTTTTCTTATTTTTGAGCTGTTCTTGGAAATAAAAGTGTGCAATTTTCAACCAAATTTGGTAAGTGATGGTTCGGCGCCGAACTATATATGTTAATGCATATAAGAAAGCTGACTCCCAACCTACATGGTTTAGACTTCTAATATTAACACAGATTGTGGATATTCAAAGCGATTCAATTTACACGCTGATACATAATATAATGATAATAGTAATGTATACATTCCATTATAATGTTGTCTTCTTATTGAGCTGTTCTTGGGAACAAAAGTGTACAATTTTCAACCGAATTCGATTGACGGTTCGGTGCCGAATTATATTTGCTAATGAATATAAGAAAGCTGACGCCCAATTTACATGGTTTTAGACTCCTAATAATAACAAAGATTGTGTATATTCAAAGCGATTCAATTTACACGGTGATACCTAATGATAACAGCAATGTATACATTTTACTATAATTATGATGTGTCTACACTGTTTAACTCGTTGATATGGCATATTGCAATTAGCTGTCCGTATGCGACATTGAACTACATTCGAACAGATAGAGACCCTGCATGTTTCATTCAACCGTTGAACCCCAAGGTTTTTACTGCAGTTACACTGTATTATTAAATATTGACATTTAAGATATAGTACGTGTAACAAAACTAATGATGTTAATGATATTGGGCTTGACTAACCTACGTCTATTTATGTGTGCTTTGTATTTGCAAACTAATTGTTACTACAGGTCACCGTTTCTATATATCAGTGTCGAACGAAAGATTTCTGTTTTACAGCAGTAACTTTAGTATAAACTGATGCTATAATCCATTCTGACAAGGAATAAAGAATCGTCAAATTCAATGCAATATATTTGTGTTTGTGGCGGATCCGAGTACCGATGAGAGGGGGAGGGGGGATAGTGGAAATATCTTTTAAACTTTGCAATATATGTAAAATTTTATCGAAAATATGTGTAACATTATTTATCTTGTGAGCGGGTATGATATGAATTTCCGTTCAAATGATGTATGAGGAATAGCTCATTGAACCAAGTCTGTGATTAATCACTAGCAAAATATAATAAAATTCGGGGGCACCTGCCCCTGTGCCCCCTGAATCCGTCACGGGGCCACTTTACTACATTCAGAATTTCCCTTATTGTTGTATTCAAAATATCATGAAGGGTTGGAGACCGATTACAATTAATCCATCTGCCTCCTGTTTAATCATAAAAGGACCTTGACTCCCTCTTATCATGACCTTGGAAGGGCTGGGAGAGAGTGTCAAACAATTCATAAGTCATTAGGTAGTTTAGGCACTCAAGGATAAACGATACATATTGATTAGACATTACATATTGATTAGCCATTACGTACCAGGGAAGGGGGTGGGAGAGGGGTTGTCATGGCCGTTGCAGCTTATGTTACGTCAGTAAGGCTTATTCAGATCAAAATAGTAAGCTACATGAAAATATTTAAAGCTCGAATGAATTCCTCTTATTGTTATCTCAACAAGGAAATGAACTCCCACATTGTGTTACGTTCTGTTTTTGGTTCATTAATCAAAACAGTGCGTACATTATATAGTGCACGAAAAGGTAAAAGCAGTTGTATTACATTTGTATTGCATTCTTTGTTTTGTTTTTGTTTTGTTTGTTTGATTGTTTTGAATACGATCAAAATATAAATTACGTTTTCTATTATTTGATAGTGTAAGTACTCATACATTTGTCTTAATTTGTTCATGTGAGGAAGTGGACTTAATTATATGAATAATTTTAAGAATGAAATCTTTATATTCACTTTTATCTAAATTTGGGTTATATCGGTTCCTATTTAGGTTGATAGCAATTCTCCAAAATATACAAATTTGACAAGGCTCACTTAAAATAATTAGAATTTTAGATGTTTCAGTCTAACGAAGACAAGAAAAGATGATTAAGTAATATATACAAACGTGGTCGCTTGTTTACAAAAATTCGTTTCATTTGCCAGTTTAGAGTTTATTTTATTTTACGTTCTTCATATATTTCTAAGCCTTTAGTACACCATTTCTTCACAAATTGTATCGAGAATTAAACTTCAGTGCATGGCAGCTTGGAATTACGTCTAGACCACGTTGTAAGTAGAACATTTATCAAAATGTCTTACGCTTTTACCTATGCAACAGACTTTCTTTCTTTCTTTAATGAGTACATATATATCGAGGTAGGTTGAATGCTAGTTAGTGCTTACTAATGGAATGAGAACTTCGGAAACGCTAGTGTTATACCAACATTGATGATCTAAGCGGCTTAATGAATTGTGAACATTCTACTTAATTTACAGTCACAGAGTCGAATTTAGGTGCCTTAGGAAATAATGCATATATGGTTACATTAAATTTAGATAATTTTGGAAGCCGAAGCATTCAAGACAGAACTTTGCAAGAGCTGATATTTCCAATGAGAGTAAAACAAGTAAAATAGAATTAAAAGGAAATATTAAGATTTTCAAAGATATTTCCTTACAAATTGGTAGTCTGACCAATGATTAGGCATAGGCAACAATTTTTTTTTTTTACAAAGCAGGTAATTTTTTAATATTTTTTGCACTTTTCAATGTTTCAAGTATTTCTTCTTTTCAGCTTGCGAGTTTACGTGCATTTTTCTTAAACAAGCATTTCTTTCTTCTTGTCTCGGACATAATTATTTCTATTATCCTGTCTGGTTATACAATAAACCTTACTTTGATGCTTTTACATCGTAATGGTACTTGATGAACAAACCACATTCGATAGAAAGATTCACCCTAAGGCCTCAGCGTGATGCCGATTTTAAGAATAAATGAAACCTGTTCCAGTGCCAAGGACATCTACTTTTTTTTATTACTGAAGATATGCTTTCTCATTTACTTAGGGAATGCTTTCACATATAATTAAGATATACTTCCACATCAATTTAAGATATACTTCCACATCAATTTAAGATACGCATTCAAAGTTTGTTAAGGTATGTTTTCACATCTACTTTGATATACTTCACGCCTACTTAATATACACTTTCCCATCTATTTAAGACGTAATTTCATATTTCATTGAGATAATTTTACATCTACTTATTATATCTTTCACATCTGCTTAATATATGCTTTTACATCTTATTAAGATACTTTTACATCTACTAAAGATATGCTTTTACATCTCATTACGATACTTTTACATCTACCTAAGATATGCTTTTACATCTCATTCAGTCACTTTTACATATCATTAAGATACTTTACATCTTCTTAAGATATCTTCTATATCTACTTAAGAAAGACTTTCACTTCTTCTTAAGACAATTTCACGTCTATTTAAGAAATTTTTGCATCTCCATAATATGTGCTTTCCCATCTACTTAAGATAGATTTCCACTTCTCTTTAAGATTTAATTACACATCTCATTAAGTAAAAAATAAGTTAACATGTACTTCACTTATGCGTTCACATCTACTTAGGATACGGTTTCAAATTTACTTAAGGTATGATTTCACAGCTACCTGAGATGACCTTAACATCCACTTAAAATATATCCTTAAATCTAGTTGAGATGTGCTTTTTATCTACTTAAGGTGGGTGTTCATATTAACTTAAGTTGGACTGTTACATTTACTTAAGATATGTTTTTTCCGTCTACTTAAGCTATCATGTACTGTGACCAGTATTCAGCAGCTAAATGGGTGCCCAATCCCGAGACTAGCCACTCTGTAGGTTAGCGTAAACAAATGCTTTAACTTGCAGCTGACTCATCCTGCAATGGATAACCTTAGATGAATAAGAAGATGATTGCAGAGCTACATTGTGTAGGCAGCCCATATTTTTGTTCTGGTCCATTTGATGCAGTGTTTGTACACACAAGAAAAACTGCACAGAACAGTTAATATGAAAAAAGTTTTTAATGTTCAATTGGAAAATTTCACATGTAAGATTTGTGTACTTTATTCTGTAAATGTATAGTGTTTTTGGTGAAAACTTATTGTCTAGCCTCCGGATTCAACATTTATGTCAGATTCATTATCTCATTTCGCTTATTCTTTTAAATTTGTCGTTATTTGTTACGTTGGGTTGAGCATGAGGATTGCAGTGCTTAATGCATGTAATTGATTTTCGTTGTTTGTGGAGTGATATTTCAAAGCATCCCATCAAAATGCATTAATTCATTTTGTAAATTTGATTCATTTGTATTAATTTTTATCACACATTCCTTTGCACTGTTACCCATTATCTGTTCCGAAAACCTTCCAGCCCCTATTTTTAGAGCAGTTTCGGGTAAGATGGAAATAAATTGAAAGGAGTTAGAATGGAATCGTAGAGTTGAGCGTGAGTGTGAATAGAAGTGAGTGATTGAAGTGAACTGATATGCATACATTGAATGGCATGGCAAGAATGGATCAGCGAGTGAACTTTAACCTTTTGAACTTCATATAACTTAATGTTTCTTTCAGATTGAGAAGAAAATCTAGGGAATGAACTGATTAAAAATTAAGAAAACAGTTATTCAAAAAGTACTTGCATGTAAATTTTAAGGATTATATAAGTATTATTTCGGAAATTTTTTGAAAGTACTGTTAGGCAAAATGTTAGAACACATATTTTCACTGAGCAAGCAAGTAATATTTCCTAGACCTATTATAAGAAGCCGTTTTGGCAAAAAAAAAAGATTTATTGTTTTACGAATAATCACTTCATTCGCTATCCGTTGAATTTATCACAACAGCAAAATGTGTATTTCTTAAATAATTTACCAGCAATTGCATGTGAGTACAACAAACATTTTGCATAGTTCAAAATGAAAATTGCATAATTGTTTGATACCGATTTCAGTAAAAAATACATTTTGCATTTTGACATACGCATGTGCATGTTTATATAGATTTTAGAAGCATGTGATTTGCTGTTCATTTGCAGTTGCTTTAACTTTTTCTTTGCCATAAAAATAATCATTAAAATCTACTAAGTACCAGTAAGTAAGTATGAGAAATAAGTTACAGAAATATAACAAGTCGAATAAAGACCGCGGGAAAATTAGATCAGAAGGTTGCATTTGCAAGGAAATAACGACCAAAGATGAATAATAGTAAATAGTTTTCTTTTATGAAATCTCTTTGTGAATATAATTTAATGATGGTTCTTTTCATAAAATACATATTCACCATACTTTGTGCTGAATTTACTATATGCATTATGTAATCGCTTATAAACTAGTGTAATGATTTTGGTGATCATATTATTACAGGATTTCCCAAAAGGACATTACGAAGAATTCCATGTTGATTTTTCAGTAGCAGCATGAATGGGTTTATTCAACTAACAAATTAGTCTGATAAAGCTAAGCAGACTAATCGGACCTCTTAATTATCTTTCGTCATGTACGGAAACGAGATATTTCTGATGGGATTCGAAAACTTGAGAGAAACTATAATGGAAAGTGATATATAACAATAATAATCATTTTCCCCTTCTAATTTGATCCCATAAATCTTAATGAAAGAGACACGAACCCACAACCAGTCTGATAAAGCTAAGCCGACTTTTTTGGTGTCTTTAATTACCATTATAGCGATGAAACTTTCTTGATGGCTGTGAAAGATTCAGAAAGAAAATAACGCCATACGAGTTGTAATAATAATTATAGATAATTCCTTTACTTCTTTAGCACACAAATCTCGGCGAAAGTGACACCCTTGGGGCACAAATTATTGATATCCATAATGCTTTGGCGGTCAAAATCAATTATTAGTTGTTTTTGTTTTTTGAAGCTCCCGGAATGCCGTACTTCATCACTCACAACGTGCAGGTCTTGATTCGGGTCAATGAAGGGGGCCACGCCCATTTTAAATGTCGTGTTTCCGACCTGGGGGATAATCACGTCATCTGGTATAAAACTAATAAAGGAAGAAGTGAGTATCATTATATTATTATGCATTATTTATATATCATTTTAATATAATTAACGTTAATATTACTACTTTTATTATAATTATATTTATTATATTATAATAATTATGATTATTATTATTATTATTATCATCATCATCAACATTGTAACTTATCATCATCTTCATCATTATTTCTATTATTGTTATTGACATCCAATGTATTATCATTATCATTGTTAATTTTCTATAATAACTAATACTCACATTATCTTTATGATGTCATTTTATACACTTACTATATACAAAAGATCTCTATAACATCATAATACGTTTTTGGAGTATTCTTATTCAAAATGGAGGGAAGGTTCGCTCTGTTGGTTGTACCTACACGCACAACACGCACAACACGCACAAATGCCTACTCACCCACCTCCTAAAACGCACACAGATAAAGAATGAAACACAATGAGTTTCATGTCTCGAGTAAATTATTGTGGAAATATTCATTAGCGCGAGGGAAGCACGACATGAAATAGAGTCGGCTTTACAGAATATAAAATGCACCCTAGAGAGTGGACCTCCATCGCGCATCTTTACTCCACTTACCGCGTTTTAATCGTATTAAATTGTTTAATAAAGATGTATTTATTGCAGAATTACGTGCTCGTTGGTGAAATTACATCTCGCCACAGATATGGTTTTGTCTGTTTTTGAAAGGAGGGCAGGGTCCCTTGGCTTTCTGTGTCTCGACAACTATCTCATGCTTTGCATAATGAAACTTTGACCTGCCAGTGAAAGAAAAAATCACATGGAACAATAATGTCTGCAGTGGATTAAAATATATTGCAGCAATGGGGAAATTTTCACAATAAGAAATTGTTGTAGAGTTAGACTCCTGTCCATCCCCTGTTACAGAAATTTCCCTTAATTGTATGCCTATTAAAATTATGAAACAATTATTTCTACATGACAAAAATAATCCGTTTCATTTCATGATTGGATTCATTTTGGTTATACAATCTACAGAACACTTGGTGCTCCATACATCTGTTTATTAAGTTAAACCGGGTTAAATCGTATTTGCCCGTGTTCTACTTTAGTTTAACCAAACTCAGGCTCTAATATCACATTTACAAGGGAAAACGCCGACCTCAGACCAACCCCCTTTGTTAAATCCGATTTTTAACAAATGCCTAAACTCAGCGACGGGTTTGAGTAGAATTTAAGTAGAATACGATCATTTAAATATGTACGAGCCACTGATTTAAACGTCTTCTCATGGTTATTCTCCAGGATCACTTATCTCCGTGGGCCAAGAGATCATGGACCAGTCACGACAGTACATCAAAGATGGCGACTTTGTGAATTCGACCTTTGACCTTCGACTGCCAAACGTTCAAAGGTCAGACGAGGACATCTATACGTGTACCATTCAATCGCACCCACCTACGGAGTTGAACTTTACACTGCTGGTGTCATGTAAGTAACTATCATATGTTATTTTAGATTATTTGTTTTGGTGTCTTTTGATTTGTTTCATTCTATTCTTTTGTTTGGAATCCATCTTATAAAGAATTGATACATATAGCTCCGTTTAGTCTCATTTCACAACGCCCCTATCGTCAGAGTCAGCAGCCATACATGTTAGCCTATGGACGTTTTTTTTTTTAATTGTTAAAAAATTATTTTTTGTTTAAACGAAAAGCACATTCACCCCGACGTACGTTATCACTAGCTCTTTCATTGGAGCCCTCATGTCTCATTGACTTTTGAAAGTTCACCCACCGTAATTTTTCAAAATAGGTTGCAAGCTCGCCATTGCCTATAATACACATGTGAAACAAGTCGAACTTTGGACTCAGTCTGCCAAGTGATTTTAAGATTATAGGTCAAGCACACGAAGGATAAGAAGCATGAATTATCAATTATCACTTCTGTTATGTTCATTATGTCCATTTCATCCAACTCCCCACCGTAATTTTTCCATTTAGTAAAAGCAAACATTTTGCCGAGTTTAGCAAAAACATGAATATTCATGAACGGTCAGGCAATACAGCCTTTTAGTACGTAACGTATAGTGAATGGGAATGGGCGATGATCCGTCCAGGAGGTAGAGGTCAGTGTTTTGTGCTGGAAATGTTCACGCGAGCGAAAATGAGACAATCGGAGCAATATGTTAATCCTAACTTATTTACGATTGATATCAATCGCAACTATTTAAATAGAGATAGAAGACTGCAACATATTGATTGGAGAACTGGCGATTGATTTGGATCAATCACGCCTCTTCACTAGACGGTGCCTTGGATGGCATGTACAATTATTTATCATGTCTGAAATGTAAAATGAAAAAATACAATCATACTTTTTTGCTGCGTTATTTTCTTTTCTCCTTTCCCGCTATCTTACTTATTGTTATCTTTCGTATCTTTTTTTTTAATACTTTTTTTTTATAATTCATACCCTCATGTTCAATATCTGTATTGTTTGTTTATTTATATTTATTCTTATATTTACGAAATCATTATTTTGTATGGTTTGGATAGGCTGTTGTTATCTGTAGTGTCCGATTCGTAACACGAAATGATTTTAATTTGTATGTTTCAATGAGAAACACCGACTGTTCAAGTGAAAAATGTGATCGTTATAGAAAAGTGACCTTCTTTGACAGTTGGTAACTTTAGCAGGTTTTATTGTACACATGTAGTAAATTCAAGGAAATATTTGGTTGATACTACACCCAAACGATAGCGGCAGTTTTGAATTAGTAGCCTTTGGCTTAAGGGTTACAAGATGTTACCTCAGCCACACCGCTAAACCGACTTCAAATTTTCGATTCTTGGACACTCAGGGTAATGTACTTTCCTTGTCCGCTCTGGACCCTCTTTTTATAAATCCCTGTTATAAATAACAAGTTCTAATAACTGTTATAAGCTACTGAAATCGTGGCCTTTGATTGGCTGAGAGCAAATTTGTCACATAAATTTAGCATTTTTTAAAATTGAAAACAAGTTTGATGAAACAGGGCCCAGGTGTCTGTCTCATTCGTGCGACTGGGCTACTCATGATTACAGGACATAGCACCTCAGTCACACCGATAAATCGATACCAAACCCAATTCCTACCGTCCAATTCTCAGCCAATCAGGGTAATGTAATTCATTGTTCGATCCGGGCAGTGTGACTGGTGCGTACAGCTTTACTAAGCTGTGTGTCGTTGAGTGGAATTTTAATAGAGTTCGCCCAAACTGCACACCAGGGACCAATTTGACGCCACGGCGTGTTGGAAATGGTCGATCAATGTCTAAAAGCTGTGAGGCAGATTAACACAGAAAAGTGCTATTCTCTTAGTATGCATGCCAAAAGTCGTTCCTACTTTTTTCCTTCCACCAGTACCATCTACTGGAGGTCTTTGTAAAAGACAGGCGCAGTTCTAAAAAAGGGTATTTTTTTGTCGGGGGGCGGGGGGGGGGGGGGAACCATGAACCGCTACTGCTTCAACGTGATGTGAGGTTAATGTTCTGGAGTCATTATAAATGTTGATTAAAGCTAGGCTTAACCTTTACTAGTCCCCTCTCGTTTATGAATTTTGCCCCCACCACAATCTGTCATGAATATCCGATTAAATTTTCCAAGAAAAAAAAGAGAGAAATGTAAATGCTTTTCGTCAGCCAAATGGAAGTGCTAGACCCGTCGTATGCATACGAAATGATGCTCCGACTTTTTCACCAGTACCATTTAAAAAAAATCTTTAACTTGATGTGAGTGTCGTGTGCTAATTATGAATGTTGATTAACGTTGGAATTTCCCCGGTTGTTTCCTCATTTTAGGCATTTTTTTGCCGCAATTTGTTTTGAAGATGCAGAAGATGCACTACAAATTTCAAAGAATTAAAACCCCTGCAACTTTTTGCAAGGTTTTAATCAATCCAAAGAGAAAACTTTAGACGTGATCGAAAGACATTCAAGAATCAACTCAAGGGCAATTCACAATTATATTGCCATGGAAACCATGGAAAGTATGAGCTATCTTGTTTGCAATAAAATTAACTAAAGGCATTGGTATAAAATAGCTGTACGCTAACCAATCATTAGATATAGTACATGCAGTTGAAAATAAATGTCTATTTTGCATAATGCAGTACTAAATGCTAGGACAAAAATATTCTTTCATATTGTCTGGGATTACTGCTGAAAAGAAATGTTAAGTATCATAGTGATTATTGCTGATAAAAATACAAAGCCTCAAAACGAAATTGGGTGTCCTAAATACAAAATATGTTGGTGTATTTTATGTTGGCCTATACACATGATGCATGCACGGCGTACCGCGTCTCATTAATTTTTTGAATCGGACGAAAACCCTTTGAACTTTATCAATATGCATGCAATTTTTAGTATTTTCGTTCTCATATCACATCACATTTTGATCTCTATAATATTCATGATTTGGTAAAAGCAAATTGCAGGGATAATTGTAATAATTTATATTAAACCAGTGTTTAATATTATGACTTTAATCCATTCCGGCAAAGAAATACCAACGAATCTTTACATGAGGGGATGAACTTTGCACGAACCGAAAGATATCACCCCCCCCCCGTTACAAATTTAACTCCACAAAGTCTTTTCAGAGCCAGGAGGACTTTGACTTTATGTCAAAGTTTATGAGTTAGCGCCCTTCTGCCTCTAAGCACACAAAGAGCGACAAAATGAAGAGAATACCATCGTAATTTTTTAAAATCTGATGCACCTGTATTCCTGAAGAGATAACACGTATTTTGCATTTGATGGAATGTACAGTTTAGTCCTAGGTCGTTCACGACTACAAGCAGCTGAAGGGAAATAAAAAGGGAAACAATGGCGGGGTGGGTCGAGCAATAGCTCATAGAGTAGAGATAGTTTTATCACCGGAAGTTGATAGTCGCGCCGAAACAGATCCCTTCCGTAGAGTTTGTATGCAGGAGGGAACTATTTGGAAATAAAAGAAATGACCTTTGAACTCGTAAGTGTATTCATGTTAAAAATCTCTCTCATTGGGTGACCCTAAATTTGCTCGTTCGACTGTTCGCTTCGGACTTTATTCGTCAAATATATAGTATTCGGATTCGGATTCGGGTTGCAATTGGGTTTTAGGTTAGGTTCATGGTTAAAGGGTCAGGATTCGGGTTTGAATTGGGTGTTAGATTAGGTTTAGGGTTATAGGGTTAGTATTTGGGTTGCAATTATGTTTTAGGTTAGGTTTAGAGTTAGATAGTCAGGATAAGGGTTGAAGTTAATAATTCTATTATCGGAAGTGGAACCCTCTCAATACGCTTAAAGTCCAGTTATTATGAGGCTCATCATCAGGGTCATTTGAAAGAGAACGAACATCCTATTACGTGAGGGAAGAGCGGTAATCAAACAAGGTTTCCCCTTTTTTCCTGCATCACTTAAATGCACTATAAACCAGAGCCATCAATACACAGAGTTTGGCCAACCCGGTTCTAGTTTGTTATAATATGGCGGATACTACTCTGCAAAAAAACAGAATAATATACGCCAAGTTCACCAACTCTGCAATAGATGACTTTACGATGAGTACATCAAATGCTCCCTTTTTGCAAGCGTGAAATTTACACGTGTAAATTTCCTGTCGGTTGCCTTTTAATTGCACTTCTCTTCTTTGATGTCTCCACACACAAAAAAAAAAACAATGCGTGACGTTCCTGTGGATACACATCATTGTGAATCATCTTCCTTACTCAGATTAAACCTAACGCGGCGTATCATAGTACAATAGGAATTCCATAACTCCTTGTTTAATAGGGGATCTCAAGGTGCGTAGAGAATAGAATGATTGGTTTTTCTAATATGAAGAAACAATGGTTGTCGAAGGACGAATGTCTTTTGTCATCTAAGATTTGATTAGTTGTATTCAACGTTGAACCCTGCATGATTATAAATCGTTATCATAATTTATCCAAACAGATTAAAGATATTCCTGTATTAATGTAGGTGATGACATCCGGTGTTCTTAAAGATGAGAATTGTGTTGTAAAGAAGAAAAACGTTTGAAATGCATTGGTTTAGGGTACAAGATATACATCTCATGTCAGCTATTTTCTTCATATTTCTATTTTAACCAATTTTACTTTTCTAACCAAAATTTAGTGGAGTATTCAAATTGGGATTTATCTCTAGGTGAATCCATGAAATACTTGATTTTAGCGAATCTTCAGCTTCTTCTTCGAAGAGTCTATGCTTTTGAATTTTTGTTTCTTCTTATTTTATTAAACAACATGATGGCGCCATATAAATACTGAAAAGTACCACCATCATCTTTTAATGCGTTTGGTGCCAGGAATTTTGAGGGGAAAAAATGATTTTAAAGTCCTTTAGTTGGCAACACGATGAGAGATTCAAAAGCATTTTCCCCGATTAAAAATTACTATTTTTTCAACTTTCCAACAACTTTCTCGCCCATGTATATTGTTTCCTGACACACTACATTTCATTTCATACATTTAGCAATGAAAGACAAATATTAACGTTGCCAATTTGAAGAATAATTTGTGATCAATCTAGCCCTAAAATAAATCCTGTCCCGAAATAGGTTAATTGTGAACATTAGTTGTAATCTAATCATAGTTTAAGACGACATGACCGTTTCCCCCCCAGAAATCTAAACCTAATTTGAATTCAGGCCACATAACTAATGACAGATTTTGATGCTGTTTTGCTTCCAGCCGGGTTAAGATATCCATCCTAGCTGCCTGGAGGTGTTGCTGTCACGTCATGTACTTAACCTTCCATCAAGGGAATGCACATTATTCACCAACCACGTGGGCCGTTAATGATACATTAACCGGAGCGCTTTCATCAAAGGAAGATACAATAAATAGGAGAGAAGCCTTGTGGATAGGGAATGGTTTATACAGCCCCAGCCAGATTGACGATGTGGTTGTTGACAAAACAATATCTAGGCCAAGGCCCCAAAATGTTGTTCAATTTTTATCTTGTGCTTTAAGGAATAAGAATGTTTATATTATGCTTTAAAGAATAAGGATAAGACTGCCTTATTTTACCAGCCACTCTTTTCGACAATTTCGAAACTTGTCTCCCAAAATGACATTCCCATTATTATGCTTATCACTTCTTTTCTCTCTTTTATATATTTTATTCCGTCTTTCGATCTCCCCTCCCTTTCTGAATAATTACTTTTTCTTTTCCTGCATTCTCCCTTTACACATAAGAGATGAGTCCATTGGTTATTTCGTACATACGTAATGTATTGCGAACGCCGCTTTCGATAGTCCCCTTTCCCTTATGTCTACAACTTCATAAATGAAAAGAGAAGTCAACAGAGTTTTCTAACCATATTTGTTAATATATTGTATTAGTGACGACAATGAATTTCTTCGAAGATTTAAGATTTAATATTTAAGATATCGTAACTATTTAAGGAAAACACATATCATTCAACCGACAAGGAAACCTGCTATAGCAACCACCTGTATAGAAAGGCCATTTGTCTAAAAGACACATTTCTGCTTCCCTTTAACAAGATTTCTCATTGAAATATGTAGACCTACTGATGAAACCTGTATCTATATATATAAAGACCACCTGCCTATAAAGACCGCTTTTATTATCTCCATTGACGGTCTCGGTATACATGTTTTACTGCATTTCTTGAAGGAACCGCATTCATGAACATTGCAGGTAGAGTTTTAAAGCACAATAATATATAAATCAGTCTGGACTTTGGGGAAGGCCTATTAAGGTGCACCCGACACAAACCTTTACGATTTACGCCTTCTTTATCGTGCTGTTATCAATTTCGTATCTCACGTCAATATGTGTGCAATTTGAAGTTGTGCATTTCGGCGATATGTACAATGAAAGAAATGAAAGAAATAGATTTGACTTTGACGATGATGCCATCAAATATGTAAAGAATAACTACTTGAGTATTTTGTAGATATGACAATGAAGAAATGAAGGAAAATAGATGTTACTTTAACAACGATGCCATTATGTACCTATACCAAAAATGTTTTACTTAAGTATTTTGTTGGTATTTAGATGATGTACTCCTTGATATTCTTTGTACGAACGAACGACGTTGGTACGTAAAAACAGGAAAGGAAGAAAAAACATGTTTATTTGAAAAGAAATGGTCTTGTTTTGCAGACCAGGCTTCGGTGAGGAGAGTCCTCCCGGACGACGAGCCGAACTGGAGTGCCGCCGAACCCAACCGCGTCTACTTCAACGAGACATCGAACGCCACACTGACCTGCCTCGTAGATGGTTCCCCTTCTCCGATTGTGACGTGGTGGAAGAAAGATAGACCCACCCGACCATCCAGAGCCCAGCACCTGATTATAGCAGTCAGTGAGTATGATATCCGTTGTCTGTCTGTCTCTCTCTCTGTCTCTCTCTGTCTCTCTCTGTCTCTCTCTCTCTTACTCACTTACTTTCTGTCTATCTCTCTCTCTCTCTCTGACTCACTTTTTTCTGTCTATCTCTCTCTCTCTGACTCACTTTTTTCTGTCTCTCTCTCTCTCTCTCTCTCTGTATTTTTGCCCCTTTAATTGACTAATTCCCTCTCCCCTTCCCCTTCTCACTCTTACATCCTCCCCCTTAAACTAAAGTTCAGCGCTTGGTTATAGCATTCAGGGAGTATGATAATCGCTGTCTGTCTCTCTCACTTTCTTTCTGTATATCGCGCGCTCTCTCTCTCTTTCTCTCTCTCTCTCTCTTTCCCCCTATTTCTATCTTTCTCTTTTCCCCTTTAATTGTCTTATTCCCTCTCCCTTACCTCTCACAAAGCCCCATTTTACCTATAGTCCAGCAACGTAAGGAGTCAGTGAGTATAATAATCTATGTATGTCTCCCTCACTTTCTTTCTGTCTATAGCTCCATCCCTCTTTCCCCTCCGACTGCCCCCTCCTTTGTCTTACTCTCTCTTTCCCCCTTCCCCCTCAACGGTCAAAGTCCCTTGTATCAATATGTAGTCCAGTACTGAGATAGAGCAGTTAGTTAGCAAAACGAGACACAGAGCATATATCATTATTTTGGGAGCAGTTGGGTCTAGATTCTAGAACATCTAAAACCATTGTGGAACAGTATATGTTTCAGAAGTATTTTGGTTTACTTTGAGGTACTTTGAGAAGGTCTAACTCCAAGCATATCCCATTCAATTTACGATTCACATGTCCAGTAGTTCTCAATTCATTCACTTAATCATGTCGAATTGAAAGTCCATTTCAAAATGTTCGAAGAGACGATGCAAAGTATGTCCATTTAATTTGTTTTAATTACATGATATTAATTATACCTCACTGTTAATTGTCCGAATGAATGTCATTGGAAGAATTATCATTGTAGATCAGTTAATTCGTTGAAGCCATTTCAGCGAAAGGATTCTTTTGGGTATTTGTAAGTAGAGTCTGTGCATGGTCACAGCATAATCAAAGTGAGGGCTTGTAGATTCGACTCTGTTTTAAATTCTTCTTTAAAACATCGAATTTAGGAAAAGGTCAACACCTAACTTATTCTGAAGAGTTCCAATCGATCAATGTGCTGATATCAAACGCAAAGACATCTTCCGATCTTTCAGATCATTTTTAATTCAAAGGTTGAGGCAAAACCAGTGTCCAGTAATTATCTATACTGATTCATAGAGACTCATCGATATGAGCGCGTGGTCACCCTAGCTTATCAGTTAATTATTGGTAATTAAACTTTCACTTGTTCGTAATCATTCATTCATAAACCAAACCAGAGGGAGTGGGTGTTTTGCAAAGACTAAGATAGACTTTAAGTTCGACTTAAATATGACAGGCCATACATGGCACTGGTTGCTCTCAACATTGGTCTCTCAATTATGATCTTTAGATATTTTTTTCTCTTCAATAATGAACTATCAAATAAGCTAAATTATGTAGATGTGTGATCATGATTTGTACATCCATTGGAAGACCATTGCCAGTAAATGGTGAAAGCGAACAGTGGCACGAACAGCCTGCCATGGTTAAGTCCAACTTAAAGTCAATCTTAGTCTTTCTAAAACACCCCCTGTTCCAAGAAAAATTCCCACCAGACAATGTCACATAAGAGAGGCCCTGGTTAATAATATTCGAGACATGCTTTATTTTGAAACATTGAAGTAATAAAACAAATGTAAATTAAATAAGATGTACTACATTTGTGTTTAGATGAAAACGGAGGGGAAATAGGGTTTGCGGACATGCAGAGAGATTTTTGTTTTATATAAAACGAAAAGTATACTAGCTGTAATCAAAGTTACGTTTTTAACCGCAAGTTGTCCGATTTCTGCCATTAATATATGCAGAAAATGAGTGTTACAAGTGAAAATTTCTTCCGTATAGATTGGTATAAACTTGAAGAGAAGCTTTTCTGAACTTTGTTAAGGCGTATCTGCCATAGTTTACAGGAGGGATTAGACTGCCCTGCAAGGTCACTGGACAGGTGGTTATCTCATCAACTCAGCTCTCAGTTAACATAAGAAAAAGAGGATCATGGGGGACCAATGGTCACCGATTAGGCATGGTTTGTTATATAGAGGGCGCAAGTAGCTACAAGTAGTGCAGTGGGCCTTTAAGGTACCAACTTTGTTAAGGTACTAATTTATCCCTGGGTGGAGAGTGTGAATGTCTTACCAAAGACCATTTAGTGTTGGGCTGGAATTCGAATCCCGTACCTTGTGATCCACAAGACCGTGGACTTATCCACTAGACCACAACACCTCTACGAGCAACCTCTTATGGGATTCCATGGGGCGTATTTATTTTCTCTGGAAGTGCAAATACAGCATGTCCTTCTACATCCACGCGGCGCCAATATCATATCCTTTGGAACCAGAAAGGCGTTACTAATATCATTTTAAACATAGTTAACGACCTTATAGCTCCATGCCGTAGCGCAAATGCACGCTGATATGGTGAATACGAAAGATGAAATAGTGATCCTAATTCCGAAATATAAAAAATAGGAATTTCTTGCTTCAAATGTTTGTGATTCCGAAAAAACACACAACACAAATCTTTGTGTCATTTTCGGACTGTTTATGCACATGTTAGAATTCATCGTAATTATGAAACATTTTATTTTCGGAGTAACGAATCTTCAGAATAACGAGTCTTTGGAATGATGAACTTTTAAGAAAACGACATGTAATCCTTTTTTCACCAGTGCAATTCCTTCACGGCAAGCTCGTTTATGAATTCAACCCCTTCGAATTACAGCCTCATCGTATAAGAAGATAATAATATAACACGAAGGGATGACGAAAGATGAAAGGGGGTTAAAAAATCACATAGTGATTTGTCTATGTGAAGTGCCCGCGTGTGAAGTGGGTGGCATCTAATGATTAGTTGGGCATTGCGCTAAGATGGTGCTCAATCCCTGATAATAGATGATCTTTCAGAGGCGGCTTGAATAATAGATCCCGTGGCTTAAATGATGCGCGGGTCTGATGACAGCTTTGCATATTGCAACAACACGAAGTAGGCAAGTTCAAGGAAAAAAAATTAAAGTTAGAATATGGCATCATCTCTAAACAAAAATATAAAAAATTAACACCACGGCAAGAGTAATATTAGTTATTCGTCTTGAATGTAGAAGGTGTAATAGTATTTTAGTAGTATTCTTAGAATTAGTAGTAGTAGTAGTAGACTAGTAGTAGTAGTAGTAGAAGTAGTAGTAGTAGTAGTAGTAGAAGTAGTACCAGCAATAGTTGTAGCAACAGTAGCATGGGTAGTAGTACACGTAGTAGGAGCAGTAGTAGTAGAAGAGGTAGTATTAGTAGTAGTTGTAGTAGTAGTAGTAGTAGTAGTAGTAGTAGTAGTAAATATAGTAGCAGCCTGGGTACTAGTTAGATTGTAAGTCTAAATAAGAACGTATATAGCTGAGCATGGTAATATTTCTCAAAGTGAAATCAAAGAAATGAGAAAGGCAATTCTTCCTTCAATGAACCACCGTAACCGATCTTCTTTCTTTCTGTGAAACTGTCTAGCAAACCTTCATTAAGTTTCAAAGGAGTTTAAGATATACATGTATATGTACTAGTTTATGAATCCTTTAAAAGTGTTTTGATGGTTGTTGGCTCTCGTAAATATAATTCTCCGTTCCCTAGCCCTTTGGGATATTTGCAAAGAGGCCGGCGTATCGTAATATAATCATTTATTTATATTCCTTCATAAAATATAAAACAAATATTCATATATATATATATATATATATATATATATATAACACAACTGGTTGTGTGGTTACAGAAAATGCGGCTTGGCATTTTTTTCAAAGAAAAAATACCTTCAGGTATGTGTGTGTGTGTGTGTGTGTGTGTGTTTGAGTTCAGGTTCAAATTTGTAGTTTATTGTGATGCAGACACTTTATATGTTTTTACGTTTTGTTAGTGTCTGGATAATATTCTGGGAAACGTTTATCATAGCATGATTAAATATGAAGTGTAAAACAAATTTTGATGCACAAAAAACATGTATTACTTTTCCACTAAAGTCCTGATGAACTTAAATTTCAATTCATTGTTCTTCAAGGCTGCAATTTAATCGATATATACTCCCATACAATATAAATGAAATATAAAAAACTAGAATCAAGATATTGTGGAAATTAAACTTTATATGTGAACAGATGAAATACCAAGTTAGAAACAAAGTGGGTTATTATTATTACATATTGCGAAAAAGGTGTTAAGGAACTTTAGATTCGTCAGACATCGATTGATTGTTTAGGCGTGCATTAGCCAAGCTAGAGCTAAATGTCTACAATAGAGCGGGCCCAGCGGTTATTGATTTTCAAGTCATGCCTTTGTTTGAACTAAATAATTCCTATTGTAATTTACTATTGGAACAGACACGGTAAATCACATACGTGTTTGCACAAGCAATTCTTATTAGAATTCATAGGGCGTTTTTGAAAAAAGACGTTTGGTCTTCGTAAGGATCACTCAAGGTTGTTAAAATAAGGGAGTTTATAGATACAATCTGCGCATGGGCAGATAAAGGTCATTTGTACCAAAATGGTAAACCCACAGAGATGAATACTGGATATGCGCTCATGAAAGTCATGTAACATTATTCATTTATGCACCAACGGTACATTCTATGATACGCAGGTGGAAGTATTCTTTTCAAGAGGTCAAACAAAAGGTATTCATGAAGCACATCTAGATGCTCAAAGTTGAACTTCTCCATGTGTAAAAGATCTGTGGATAATTGGGGTCATTTGTACCATGTGCCTTCTGTAAACTCCCTTATTGTCATGTTCATACTTTTTCTTTTTGGTGATTAGATAACGAGTAAGTATTAAAGAATAGGGTTATATTTAGTGAACATCATCAGCGATCCTCTCTGCTTATCAATTGAATCTAATTTATACAGATAGGCAAATCAACGAACATAATGTTAAAACATAGGCCTAAACACAAAAATAAGTATATTATACTAATGCATATTATATATATTATCAATTCCATTTGACATCTTAATGAACATTGTGGCAGATTAGCCTAGTGCTAAATAAGTTGTTCAATAAAGTCTACTAATATCTTTATGACACCCTCCAGAAATATATACACCAACTCGTAATCTTCGTTCAGCAACCGACACATGTAAACTTGTCATTCCCAGATCTAGACTCTCAGCAGCTGAAAAAAAAACGTTTTGCAGTAGATGCATCAAAGACTTGAAACATCATCCCTCTTTCCATAAGGGAAATTACCTGTCTTGCCACCTTCAAAAGATCCCCCAAACTTACCTTTTCCCCCAATGATCTATGTGATGTACTTCCTGTACTGTATATTTTTGTCCTCTTTTCATATATTTGTATTTGTAAGCGCTATGGTACTTATTGTTTTTTAGCGCTCCTAAATATTCGATAATATTACATTATATTATATTTTTATTATTACTACTGCACTACTGTAAGATGTACTAACCAATACATAAAATAGGTTACGTTGATTTTTCAACGGGGGGGGGGGGGGGGGGGGGGGGACATTAACGGTTCTAGAGGGGGGGGGGGGGATTTCTTAACCTCCGCCATCAACAAAAAAGTCTCCATTATAACTTACTCTGAGCAGTAGATCCATGCTTCGAGAGAGGCACAAGTAGAAAATGTATGCAAGAACCACTAAGCCAATGGAATCCTCGATGGCCCGATCTGATAGCACTATAGAAACACCAACCGAGGGACCACACGTGTTTTACAGATGTAATATATTTTCGTATGGCTGCGAACGAACCTATCTAGTTTCATACCGCAGTTATTCACGAAGAATAATACATTTTCCAGGTTTGTAAGGGACAAAACAAAACCACTTGCTAAACCGTAAACCTTAACAGGAAACTTATGAATATTTCATGAGAGCTTGTAGTTAGTGTAATAACAATTTGAGGTGGCTATTTCATCGTTTTGAATCCCTTTTCAATTACCTATAATGGATGGTTAAAGCTCGGGGATTATTTTCAATCTGCAAAATTTAAATCCTTGGTGACGGTCTTGAACTTCTTTAATGTACTTGATGTAAGGAAAAGGAGAAAAGAGGGCAGAGTTAAGGAGGTTGAGAAAAAAAAAACAGTTATTGTTTTCTACGAATTACAGCAAATAACGCCTCGTATAGGGCATATAATACATGGATTACAATGTCACACTTGGGATACCACAAATTTAATGCCAACTCTCTCCATCCGTTTTTTGCCAGCCTAGGGTACCTAGGCAAAATTCTGACAAATCGAACAATGAGTATGAGGACCAGAATAAGAGTATTGAATTGTTACATATACCCAGTACTTATGTATGGTAGTGAAACGGGGACTTTAGCCTCTGATACTAAAAAAGCGTTTGGAAAGTTGCGAAATGTGGTTCTTAAGAAGAATGATGAAAATCCCCTGGACTGACAGAGTTAGTAATGAGGAAATTCTTACACGAGCTGGAGTGCAAAGGAAAATGATACGTGAGATGTTGATTAGGCAGTTGAAGTTCATGGGTTACATTACACGTAAAGAAGGCCTAGAAAATCTTGCTTTGACAGGGAAAATTGTGGGAAGAAGGAGTAGGGGAAGGAGGATACTTTGGATGGACAGTCTGCAGAAATTGTTGGAAGAGAGAGGAGTGAAAGAACTGGGAGTGGTACTAATACAGAAGACCGAGGGTTGTGGAACAGCATGATCGCCAAAGTCAATCGATATGGCACTTAGAGAGAGAGAGAGAGAGAGAGAGAGAGGGTACTTTAGAAATTCTAGAATATCAGAGGAATAAGTTTTTTTTCTTCAATTTTGTAATCGTCATCATGTTTAAAATGTCTTTAACCTAAATTGTGCTAGAACATTTCATTGTTATTACAACTACAACAACAACAACAACGAGGTTAACAAAAAAATATAAAATCATGGATCCGACATTAAAATCTCTGTAGATAAAGATATTTTACAATCAATTTCAATGGTTTAATAACGATATCTTTTTAGTTCGTGCATGCTATTATATTTGTTCTTTATTTCTCTCAATATAATGCGTTATCGGTATCTTCATCTGTAACACGTTGGAAACTTTCCTAAACTAGAAGGAACATTAATAAAATGTTCCAATGAAGACAGAGTGTCGTTATTGAGCCTAACATAATAGCCCCGCATAGCGTTAACAGGTACTGTATGCAACACATATTAAGTTAAGACGGATGAGGGAAAAGTGTTCCCTCATTATAGCACTTGCTAATGATTGTGTTGGAGACTGAAGTCATAAACGACACAAGCGAGAGTACTATTGTATCTTCTATTCTTCACATCATAAACACAGCTGCTTCCTATGAACACCTGATTCTGAATATAAATTGACGATAAAGCATTGACTAAGAGATTCGTTCACACTGCCAATGATTCGTGGCATATAATCCTTAGCGCTTGGCACTGCACACCACCATGTAACTTATATTAACGCGCAACTGAGCCATGGTGTTTTCTTGGTGACCCAACCAGTAGCGTCAATCTTTTTTGATGTGTGTGCGTGTAGGTGAGTGTGTGTGTTCATGTGCGTGCGTGTGTGTTTGTGTGTGAGTGGCGGTAACTCACAGCATTGGGCCCAGGATTCACTTTAATAACTCCGTTAACGTAAGAAATTAACGCGGAGCTATTGTTGAAGTAGCAAACGTCGTACTATCTTCTTCACCGCAGAACGTTAGGACGCTTCGTCCGTAAAATACTACTGCACTGTGCACCACATACCCATTTAGACATCAGTGATAGGAATTAGCAATGTGAACGCACCGGAGGCAAAGTGCCTCCTCAAAAAACTATGAATAAATGATGGTTTTAGTTGACACCATCACGGCGGTGCGCACTCCCCACGAGCGTTATAAAGCGTATTGTCGCGACGACATGCTTACAGCAGCGGAAAGCCGTTTATCAGTGAGACAACATAAAATTGGCAACCTTAAAGAGAGAGATGAATTCTCTTAAAGGTGAAATAATATATTGCGAGCTTTCTTATGCTTTTCATGAAAATGTTGAAGTCGATTATTATTGAGAAAATATGGAATTAGCAACCTTAAAGCGAGGATCGACTTCTGTTAACCCATAGCAGTTATGTATTTCCACTCTTTCAATGATTAAGATTACAACAAAAGGCCGATATGAACACGAAAAATATTCATAATTATAAATTTTACTCTGCGTTGCCAATTTAGAGATTTCAATCACTATTATTCATGAATGGCACAATGTACTGCAACATAAATGGACTGTGGATCAAAATATGAAAATTAATCGTTACTAAAACTGACACAACACTGCTGCAGCTATGGGTCTAAGATGAAAGAGTATTTTGTGAACATTGTCACGTCTCTTAAGTCATTACTGAAGGAGTTTTTATCAGTGAGATAACATACAATTTGGCAAACAAAGGGGAAAGATGAGTTGTGTTGAAGGTAGTAAAATATTTCGTTAGCTTTCGTATGCTTTTTATATCATCAATAAAGCAGTTTACCAGTGAGGCAATATGAAACTGGCAGTCTAAAAAGAAAAGATTTACAGTGTTCTATATAACAGCTCGGAGCTTTCTAAAGATCGAAATCAATCAGTATTTTTTCTCAAATTGGCAACAATGATTTGTATTATCCAATTTTTCTTAGTTTAAATCGAAAATGTATATAAGATAATACAGTGGATGTGAATGGAAATGATAACAACAAATAGAAACCCAGTAAAAAAATTGTTTGATTTTTTTACACGGAAATAGTGATTATAGATTTCATTGTGCGTTGCCAATTTAGAGACTTCAGTAATTATTTTTAATTAACCCGCTCCTTTTCTTGAATGGTACGATGCACTGCAACTTATAGGGATAGTAAAATGACAGTAAATCAAAAGATAACAATAAAACATAATTTTACATTACTGTCTCGTGTGTGATATTCATGTTTTTATCCGGAGAGGTGACGCGCCCGGAGACCGTTGACAGTGAAACCGGCATGGGTTGCATACATATTGGCCACGAGGAACGTATTATGTTTCAGACGTATTTTAGTCACGTCTGATGTACACAAGTACAGATTAGCCCATCAGCATTCTGAAATGGATATGGAGAATGAACTTGAGAGGGATATATAGAGAGAAGGAGAGAGAGAGAGAGAGTCATAGCAAATGAATCACATTTAGTAAATGGATCACATATGAGTAATTTTGATTAATATACAGGTCTTGATAAATTTGGTTTTAATAAGGAAGGAAGTCAAGGTCAGTGGTTTTAAAAACCTGTTACATAAATGTAGCATTCTGCATTATCCCATCAATTATGATTTTCATCTTAAATTAAATATTGATATTATTATCATCATTATTATCATTATGATGATTATGATTATCATTAATATTATTGTTATTATTATCAATGGTTTTTTTAATTATTGAAATTATTGTAATTATCATCATATTCATGATAGTTATTATCATTGTTATTGTTATTATTATTATCATTATTATTATTATATTATTATTAAAATTATCATTATAAATTTATGTTAATCATTATAATTGTTAGTGTTATAGTCATTGGAATTATTGTTATTATTGTTGCTATTATTATTATTATTACTATTATCATAGAAATCAGTGTTGTTATTATCCTTATTATCATAATCGTTATCATTATTATTCATTAGGACTATTTGGTTAATACTATCATCATCATCACTTTCATTATCATTATTTCCATTAACACGTTCCTTCTTTTTTCTTTTTTTTTGTACAGGTGACAACATAACTCTAGTGAATATCTCCCGCGAGCAGAGTGGTCAGTATGTATGTGACGCAGAGAATGGGGTCTCAGGTCGTGACCCACCAGACAGCAGGGTCATAGATGTCGTCGTTCAGTGTACGTCATTTCCGGTTTTATTTCGAAGCATTAAAATTTAAAAAAATTGCTGAGATATGTTATACATTGAATAAAAGTTTTAGGCTATTAACTCGTTTCCAATATTACAAACAATTACCTAGTAGAGATTGAAATTTGTTATTGAAAAAATTAGGATAGGCCTAATTATCAAAGATTAATAAGACAATATGGGTTCGCCAATTTTCTCCTTTTTTCTCAACTATTTATATAATTTTTTCTTTTCGAATTCAAATCTACCCCTATTATTTCAACCATCTGAGAAAAATATTTAGTATAATTTACCTAAAATATTCTTAATGACTTATTATGCCTTGAATATGTCATCTACATTTGGATAATTAGGAGATTTCTAAAATTCTAACAGCAATGAAAGTTATTCAATCTCAGTCCGTCTTAATTTCCCGCCTTTTTCCCCACAGATGCTCCAGAAGTGAGGACGCTTTCACCAGACATACGCGTGGGTGAAGGGAAGTATCTTCTGCTCCAGTGCAACGTTAATGCCGTACCTAAAGCCAGGTTTTACTGGATGAAAGACAACCGAAACCTGACCCTCACGTCACAGAGTTCAGATAACAGGTAGACTTCGGCGGGCTGTGTCCATACGATACTTTTTTAATCTCTTTTAAAACGCGATTTGTTAATCATTTCGTTGTCGTGCAGATTAAAATCTTGTCGCGTTTCTTAGCACGGAGAGGTATCTCCCCTCGTATGAACAGTAACATGTAATATGCTGTCCGTTCTACTAGCCTACCACCCTCTCCATGATCGCTAATACTTTTAATTAACTTTTTGCGACTCCTCCTGGAATGTATTAATCTTAGATTGAAAGTCGATTTCTTAAAAGTTCTTTGTGATCGTGTTCCTTTAGAGTTACTTGAATGTCCCATTTGCAGGCTAAACAAATGAAAAGGTTACATTTCAAAGGCATTTGAAAGACACTACTGATTTAGGACTTCCCTCAAAACGAAAGGGCTTGAAAATGACTCTTTTGTGGGAAAATAACGACCATTAGTTGTCGAATCGACATAAGTGATTGCAACTACCAAAGTAATAGTCTGATTTTCAGACCCTTTTACCTCAGACCCTTTTACTGAATGGTTGTACGTTTTGTGCTGCACGAAGATTCTATCAATTGAGTTTTGGCCATTACAAGCAGTGGGTCATGTACGTGTTACAGCTCACTGTGTTATTACCAGAGAAAAAGATGTCAGTCAGTTACTCATTAGTGTCTGACAGTGAAGTGTAGAAGGTAAACGATTTTCCTTGCATAATTCAAATACTAGGATACTGCTATCATGTTTAAATTTCACAGATAGGACATACATGAAATAATCATAATTCCTACAAATTTTTAACATAATTTGATGTTGGCTGTAAAAGGGACATAATATCTTTCAGTGCAATTTCACTGTCTGGTCCATTTTACGTTGTATTGTGACGTCCTGAGAAAAATTCATTTGTATGAACGGCGAAACGCGAGATAACAGAAATAATAATGTGTGAGGATTTGAAATCGTTTAGGGTATTTTTTATACTAAACTAAATTACTCATGAAGCCAAATGAATTTTAAAAGATCTTTTAATTATGAACCATATGTTACTTAAGTGTAGTATACTGTGAGGTTAAGATATATCGTTCAATTTTAAAGGATCACATTTAAAAGCCACGGTGAAAAGGATGATCTGCGCGTTACACACAAAGGGTATGTTTATTTTAATTAGCCAAATGTTAATGATTTCTTTATCTGCTTTTGCTAACTGAGAGGTCTAGCCATATCGCACATTGTTTTCTTCCTCATTTTCAGTCTTTACAGTCAGGCATTTCTGATTGATTGAAATCTATTCTGCGATCACTATTCATGCGTCCGTTTCTATATTCTTCTTGGACTCACATATCCCCAGCTAAATCAAAAGAAACTGAATTTAATTCCACCACCACTTTTCATGTTCCCTTTTCCTTCACGATCACCACTTCAATTTGATGTGTCATTTTTGTGCATGGTTTGACGTACTAACTCATTGTTTGTATCTAAACATAGTCTTGATACTAACACAGTTCTATTGCTGTTTCAGTGTAACTAACCCCTTTCTCCAACACCTTGGTCTCGTTTCTTCCGCTGTCCCCGTTTCCACTAACACAATCGAGCAGGATACCTTTGCTTTGTTATGAGAACTTTACTAGGCAAGTAGCAGGAGAACATTACGTCACCACCCCGTACTCCTGTGTATAGAGAGGCCTATTTGTATTCATGCCTTGCATTGACAGCCTGCATGATGGACAAGCGAATGACCTTTTTTGAAGAAAAAAAATGATATCCTTTGTCGCTTTGCGTCTTTTTGTGCCCTATAAATTTTTCATTTAATTCCCTTACCGTTGTACGAATTATTTAGTTCTTTCGTGAATGACAAAAACAAAAGAAAATAATGTTTGTGATATAAACGCCGACATGTTTATTTGTTATCAATGCATCGAGCCTGCTAATGAACATAGGTGTTCCTATTATTTTTTTCCAATTTTTATTTCTTATTTCTCATTGGATAATACAATTTGTTCTTATAATACTCCGTGCTCTGGCTTTTTTTCACTTCACAATCTATCATGCACACAAGCACACTAAATTACTCAATATTGTAGCTTTTCATTAAATATTCTTATAATATAGTCTAAGTTTGAATATCAGAATGCATCTGATTCTGAATAAAAATCATCCTAAAAAAGACTTTTACCTAAATTAAAAAAAACTCAAAAACTGTTGTAACAGAATAATGATAGTGGTAATTGATTCTGTCAATTGAGACAGCATAAACGTTAATTACTTAAATGACAATTTTCTTAATCATCTCTCCACAAATCATGATTTTGGAGAAGGATGATGGTAGAATAAAAATACTTAATTCTCTCTCTTCCTTTCGTCTGTCTTATTGGTGTACACGTCTGCGTGCATGCATTTGCTTTCAATGTATCCATGTACTAACAAAACCATGCTCAGTCAGTTGCATTTATGTATGTGTCGCATCATTTTTAGGTAACAATCAACATTCCGCCATTTTGTGTAGTATCGATTTCTCCGATAGAACGATCACGTAGCAATTTTTCCCACAGACTCGTCATTATATCCCTGGATCCGCGGCGTGACTACGGTAACTACACGTGCGTGGCATACAACCGGCTCGGTTCATCCAACACAACTATTCAAGTCAGTGGTAAGTTGCTTTGTTTCATCCGGTATAGTCCTACATTTTATTGATCTCATGCATAAGTTCCGATGAACTTTAACCCTAACCATAACACCAACACTTACGCCTACCTCTCAGCTTAATTATAGTTGTAACTCTAAACCAAACATAAAATTACTGAGAAGATCCTGTATTGTAACCGAAATGAGGATGATGATGAAGAAGACGCGAAAGAGGAGGAGGAGGAGGAGGAAGACGAAGAATATGACGAAGAAGAAGCACACACACACATCCACACACGCACACACACATACAACACACAAATAATAATTTTACACTGATGGACTTTTAAATCGTTAATCAGACGAGAGAAAAAAATCACACTCTTTACATGAGACAGAACAATATCAGCTGTTAACATCTCCTCGAAACCGTGAGATGTCTCGGAAGAAAATTGCCTTGAAATATATAGCCTACGCCCCCAACATACTATTATTCTAAACCATTAGAATTTCTTAATGACACTTCTTCTTAAATTACATACCCTTTCTCATCTAAAGGACGCCCTCTGGCCCCACAAGTCACTAGCAGTTTATATGGCACTCGGCGTCACATCTATACATTACGATGGACCCCTGGAGCTAATCTTCAAGAGGCACTTCAGGACACCATTGAGATTGAGGCTTACGATATCTACTACAGGAAGACATGGATAGAGGTAACACTTTAAAGAGACATAGTTATGGGTTCTAATGGTGAAATCAACACCATCCGAGTTTTCACCTGATAACAGACGTTATTAAGACGTTATTGATCACCTAGAGGGGCTTGTATTTGTTTATAACCAACAGGTCTTATGTAATGATCTGCAGTTTCCAACAATCGCCCCATAAGAAAAAGTCATCACCATAAATGTTCCCTCATTCGAAGGCTCTTCGAGATACTGCAAGGTTTTTTTTCTTTTGGGGACAGCCCGTTCGCTCTGGTGTCAGCGAAAGATGTGATACTGCAAATGAAAAATACCGGCCATTTTCTATTTCCGATATCGTGCCACCATGTTGGGTTGGATGACATTTGCTACTGCGGCAATTGCTCTGCGGTCAATGTCCTACACTAATTTAATCCTTAACTTCAACCCTGAATCAGACACTCTACCTAATCTGGCAAAAGCTAAAACTAAAATAAAACCCAATTGCAACCCTTACCCTAAACCTATAAAAAGTCGACGAAATAAAGCCTTGAGCAATTGCCGCCGGAACAAACATCGCATCACTCCAAGACTATCGCCATTTCGATCGCTATTTCTGATAGTCTTATAGGGAAAATTTCTTTACGATAAAATGACGCATAATGTGCATATAGATTCAGCGTTTTTCTATTCTGATGTCACAATAGGCATCATGATGTATTTATTTTTTTCTTCAACTTTTTAGGATGTCGAAGGCAAAAGCCGAGTTAGATTCTATCCCGAGCAACCTTTAGCCGACACTATCTACCCTCGCCCTGATGCCTGGTCGGCCCAACAAACTTTCGTCCTCCGTGACCTCTCAGACGACAGCACATATGAAGGTCAAATCTGTCCCAGGAACATGTACGGCACAGGGGACTGCGCGGACTTCCAGTTCAAAACTAGACTTGGTGAGACCATGGACTTCCTTTGAAAGCACCACCTATCTCATTAAAATATTTCTCTTTATAAGTATAATTAATCTTTAACGGTAGGCCCATTTTTCCGACAGATTACGATATGACCAACACCATCAATGTCTGCACAATTAACTTGTAGTGTTTCTCTATAAATAGTCTTGCTAACTATCAATTTACCATGAAGGACTTCATCAATAGCTCATCGCAGGAAATGTGATCTTAAGTAACTTCCAGGCAGTTTCCGAAAAACATGTAATACGTTTACTTAGGAAAAGTCCGACTTCAAATACTCTTGCATGCAGGATGTTGTATTTATATTGTATTTCTTTGTACAATTGTTAATAGTTCATATAATGTTGCCCTTTTAAGTTTGTTCATATACAGATTAGAATATTTGGTATATTAAAAGAACTCTGGACATTGTTTCGAACATCATCCCCACCATGTTCATTTCAATATGAATTATACTAGACACTTAAAGATAAAGTCAAGTTCTTTTATGCGACTGAATTGTAAAAGAAATGGGGTGGAATCGATCAGAAAAAGTTGATCATGTAGCATACAAGTATTTGTGTGTACTGTAAGGTTGTGGAGTCATAAAAATGGAGTCAAGAAATTTGGCCCAGTCTTGGTAAAAGTAACAAGCATTGTACACAAAAAGATGTATATGGGACTTCAGAAACATGTGGACTAAAAATCGGGCCTCATTTTTAAGCTGTTACTTGTCATATTTAGAATATGAAGGCATTTGAAGAGCCATGCTTTTCGAGAAATATTTTTTTCTGATGTTCTTCCATACTTGCATAATGATTACGCTCACAAATTATTTTTCACCTCTCCCCAGAACTCAACCTTTTCTGCAACGATACTATTTTTTGTTTTGTTTTGAGCAACTTCAAACGGCTGAGATTTAGTAATCATAATGAAGTGCTTGCAATTCTTTATTAATTTAAATGTATTTATTTGTTTTTTTTAAATAAATTAAATGTCATCGTTATGATTTTCTGAAATGAAAACAACTCGACCTAATGGCCGACTAAATTTGAATTCGACTGCTAGTAAACAATATTGAGCAATATGTTGTTTCTTTTTATTTGTTTGAACAGAGGATATTGTTACCACCATTCCACCAGAAGCAAGACAAACGATACCCGACGCAGGTAAGGAACAATACGAAAAAACTTTTCTCTTTCCTTCTTCTTAAAGACAGCTATCCGTCAGTTCTTACGGTAAATTTGACACCATTCGTAACAGGTGTTATGAATCACCGGGAGTGGTACACGTTTTTAAGACCGACGTGTCTTGTTATTCACTGCACCCACCATAAAAAGCCTCATGAGGTTAGTTCACCATCACAAAGTGTAATTTCTTGGTGGAACATTTCTAATTACAATCATAAATATCTTGATAGTCAGACAGGCGATCGGCTTGTAAAAGACATCGGATTCCTGACTGACCTAGAGGTGTATTATTGTGATTGCAGCATGAACTAAACCCATGATTTTTTTAAAGAATCTGTGACAAAGATACCCAATCCCTCTAAGGTCCCTCGCCCAATTCTGTAATGTTTAACTATGACAAGACGCGAAGCTGTTTACATTATTATGGAAATAGGAAGTTTGTATATAACACAAAGATATTTCATATTTTTATCCGAAAAATGTTAAATGAATAAAATTATTTTATTATTAAAGGTAACCTTTCCGATAAGTCATATGGATATTGTTTTCGTTTCGTTGTATTAATGTTTCCCCTTTTCTTGTCACAGATAAATCCGGGTTATGGACGGCCAAAGCTGACCAATGGCGATCAAGAGCAAATGTAATGGCGCCCTCATTTGTCCTAGCTCTAAGCGCTTCCTTCGTCTCGTTGCGTCTGTGCTACCATTAGGAAAGTGTGACTTTTCCCAACTGTAATAAAGAGAAGGTTGAGTTCCGGTAAAGAGTGAAAAATATTGATATTCTTTTTATATCAGTCTGGAAGAATTTCAAAGAAAATGTCCCACAGAAAGGATTGCTCTTCAATTGCCCTCATAATCAAAAGATGACTAGAGAAAGCTGAAATGTTACATTCCACGTGTATAGGTGTGTAGTCCCATAAACACATTTCTGTGCAAAGTGCATGTCATTGTCAGTAAGATTGAGTCAATTTCCTGTCCGATGATTTCATAACTTCACAGTACACATCAATTCCGTGTAAAAAAAAAATAAACCAACTATTAAAAATTGTGTCCAGAAGTTTCTTTCATAATTTCATCTCATGACCAGAACTCAACCCCATCTTTAAGACCCGTTTGAGGAGAAAAGAAGCTGGGATTTTGAAATAACAACTTCGAGAATTTCTCTCCGACAGCTTTGTGACTTTTCGATCTGATGTATTAAAACATAAGTGCAAAAGATAACCCGCCTATAGTTGGAAGTGCAAATATTGCAATATTTTGCTGCAAGAGAATGTTCTGTTTATACCGATGATTGCCAGAGAGAGCAGACATAGAGGGAAAAAAAGGGTCCGAAGTTATAAAAAGTAACCACCTTTCGACATAATAATACAAGGAGAGTTATGTCTTAGAGTAATACGTGTAAATGATTGTTGAAGATGCCTTATAGAAATGTCTGTGCCAATTGCTAGCTTACACAGGCATCATGGATGTTAAGCTTTTTTGAGGTCATTGTTAAAATAAAATGAGAGTTATTTAACAATAAAAAATAACAACATTTGAAACATTAATCTAGGAGGGGAGCGAACGGGACACCGATTTAATCAAAGCGCAATGGAAATTTATCATAGAGTTTGTGGGAGCGTTTTCTACAATATCAATAATTTCATGAATACTTAACAATTTGATTTTAGACAAATTTACGCTGATTAGCGTATTACTCTTTCGAAGTACGTCTTAATATGGAATTAGAGTAAAACTCGATTATAGAAGCGAAATTCGCATAATAAATATCGTATAAATATTCAGACTGTACTTATATTTGCAAATTTCTAACAAAACATCATGGACAAAGGCCTAAATAACTAACCGGATACAAGTGTGTGTGGGCGGTTATGTCCGTGCGTTAAATAGTATGTTTAACTTTTTTCTTTTTTAAACTATTGGGACGTTTTACACGAGGAAGTCGGTTTATCTGAAGTTGCATATAATAGGATAACATGAAAGAATTGTTATGGATTAAAAAGTACAGACTTGGCTGGTACCTGATCATAACATTGTAGCATGGATGATTTTTCATTGAACACTACGCGCTCCTTGTACATATGATATTGCCGTACGCTTTATTTTCTACCAAAATGAAAATGGAGATGCGGAAAAGTATCTTTTTTGCTACGTTAATGGAAATATGTAAATATGATTACTATACAAATATGCACCTGTAATTGTAGTTTGCAAAATGTCAAGACATGTATATATTCGCAATCAAAGTTTTAGTCTACACTGTGATGAAACAAGCTATTTCACAAATGTATTTGTACGTATTTGTATATAACTATATATGATGTTAAATATTATGATTAAAGCAAAGCTAGAATTATGTATTTGCCTAGAAGCATGGTTCCAAAGAATATCCTATTACCAATATGCACTTATTATAATATAGTATAGATTATTTAAAGGAATTTTTTGGACGAAAATGTGCACATGCATCGCATTTGACACGTTTTGTGCCAAGTGCGATTATTCCCGTTCAAAAAGGCCTTTAAACAAGGAAAGCGCAGTTTATACTTTTAGAAATGACAGAACTGCTAGTTTTGAGACATTTGTGTTCGGTGTATACACTGTATACCTTATACATCAAGGAATGAGATAGTTGAAAAATGACATTTGATTGTAAGAAGTTCCTTAGTTCTTAGGTAAATACGACTTGGTTTGGGCCCTGATAGGATCGTTTTTCTTTCTAGTGGGTAACACTTTGTGTAATCTACCAATACGAAGTCATGTTATTTCACTAACTAAGCTTGGTTATTCATATCTTCATATATATTAAGAAGATTTATTGAATTTAAAGCAACCGTTGTATAATTGCAAACAAATAGAAGCAACTTCAAAGTTTTGTTTAGTCGATAGGTAACTATTGAACTGTTTATCATGATCATAAATGTAGTCCTAGTCCTTTCTTTTAATAAATCGCATGTTAGAATAATCTTAAATTTAACCTGCGTCTCAATTTTACCCTTAGCCTTAGTATCTCTGGTCAAAACTTAGGCCGAAGAGCAAATAGGATCGCCTTAGCCCATTATCTTTATTTATAACAAAATGTTATAGTAGTTATGTATTCATCACTCACGTTTTGGTTTATCATTTTCGATAGTCAAACAAGAAAGGCAGACAATATATTGCAATGCATTCCTTTTATATGTTGTTATCTGCTCTCCGTTTATGTTATCCACGTAGGATATTTAGATATGTGTAGAGTTTAGGCCTACCAAAGAGTAACAAGGAGGAGAAGACGACGACGACGAAGAAGGAGAAGATGATGAAAAAGAAGAAGAAGTAGGAGGAGGAGGAGAAGAAGAAGGAGAAGAGGGGAAGGAAAATGAGAATAACAAGAAGAAGACAATAAAGAAGAAGAGGAAGAAAAGAAGACGACGATGAAGAATAATAAGAAGATAAAGAAGAGAAAGAAAAAGTCAAAGACTAAAAAAGGATAAAGAAGAAGACGGTAGTGATGAGATGGAGAAGTTGATAAGAAATAAGATCTTGTTGGATTCGTCATTTCAGCTGGCTCATCTCTTGAGCGTTAATACTACTCATAGCACGAATATTACAATCTAAAATATTATATCAATTTTCACTTCATTGCTAGCGAAATGGATTATTTATAATGTAATTCATGATATTTTGTGAAATGCGTTGTTTTTGTTATATTCTTGGTATATTAAAATCATACCTGATAATTTGATGTACAGTTTTCATTATTGCGTCTCTAGTTGCCTCATACGAGAAATCCCTGAGGAATATGACAATTATTTTAAAATTTCGTAAAAGTTGGGTATTGAACAATATGTTTATATACATACAATGACAGATTTTGAATATCAACACTCTGTTCTCTCATGTGCGCTGTTTATAGTCATTCCAAAATATTTACAAAATTAGCTATATTAATTCACGCCAAAATATCTAAAACAATAAGAATCTTTATTCATATAAACTAAGTAGGCAGATGTTAGCTTGGGTAATTATGGTTTACACATGTTTTTGAACTGAAACTATTAAATGAAATATACAAATATGGCATATTTCTCTGTTTACCGCAATTGAATATGCCTTCTCCTTTTCAATAAAACTGTTCAGTGCATTTAGTGTTTAATTATTTCAAATCTTAGAAGTAAGATTTTAATATGCGAGAAAAAAAATACTCTTTACCTGTTTACATGTATATAAAAGAATCTGACGCAAAAATCTTTATCAATTTCTTTATAATCTTTATTAAAAACATGGTGTTAATATTGCGTTGATACACATATCAAGTTTAATATATATTATTTAACTGCGAAACAATTTGGTAGACAAAGAATGTACAGGAACAAAGAATATGTACAGTACCTCCTAAGAACTAAATGGTATACTGCATGCTCTCATAAATCATCTTCATTTACACGATCTCAACTTTTTTTGAAAAATCAACTCAAGGGCAATTTTAATAGTCTATTGTGTGTTCCATAGAAATCAGATTACGTTATACGTCATTGTCATGTTTCCACAGTTCAATAGGGGACGTAAGAGGCCACTTAAGTTGCCTTATTGGGTGATTTGTTTAAAGGTGTTGCTTTCGTGCTACATGTCACTTAATTACAAATAATCTTATTTGCATTATGTCGTAAAGTCAATGATTAAAATAATGTACCACGGTGATCTCCAAGTTTTTTAATGTACTAACAAAAATTCAGTTACTAACCCCACCATTGACCACCCAATCACTACATTCGATTATAGTGATCAATGCGCACGCACGCCGAGTAGCCGAGAAGCCTGTTTCAAATCGGGCAAAGCTAGTTTCCATGCAATCGAAACCGGGATGACCAGATTAAACTTTAAAAAAAGCAGAAACACGAAGTTGCAAACCATCCAGAGACTCCTAATAAATTGCGTTACTTATTAATTAATTATTTCATTACAAATCTTTATTCTCAGTTTTCTTATGAAGACTATAACTGATTTTCTTATAAAATTGAAGATATTTATGGCGTATATATTCAATACTGAATGAACGCCATAAAACATTTACCAACAACAACAACAACAACATTCGATTATAATATAATTCTGGTTGCCGATTTCATCTACTTACGTGTGCCTACATTCAAATAAAGATGAAATGCTGATTATTTGATATAAAACAACTTACTCCTAGATCCTGATCAAATGATTGGTCACGCACGGCCACGTGTGATTCATTTATTAAGACTTTCCCACGTTTTTCATGAAAATGCGTGCAATAGTATACAAATAATACACAGCAGTGAGGGCATTAGTAAGAATTACCCACACAAGGTAACTTTGGAACAGTTTAACACGCCCGAGGCGATAGCCGATGGTTTTGGACTGTTTCGAAGGTACCGAGTATGGGTATTTTTTTTTTTTTTACTAATGCCCGAACAAAATGCTGTGTATTGTTTTATAAGGTTATGTTTTGTTTGTTATAAAAAATGATGCTTTATAACATGATTTTACTAATGACCGGTCATTATCCAAATTGCGCGTTAGACAAAATAAATGCCTGGTTACGTATACGCTTTCAACCAATTATTTGATTAGGATACACGTCATCATCTTATAATACAATATAACCATTTTATTGTAATGGTGTTGTGTTGTAGAGGTTTCGTGGCCTAGTGGATACGACACCGGACTGAGGATCACATGGTTCAAATCCCTATGACTGGATAATAATAATGACTACTATCATACCTTTATGGTATAGTCCGGCGGAAAGGACATGTATAGCTTGCTTAGCTGTATACAATAGCTTTCAGAGTATGTTTGTATACCCAGTTTCTTTTATGTTAGGATTGATCAGTATTTCGAAGGGGTTGGCCATGGGCTAGAAAATCGCATGTGATAAACTAAAGTTAATAATTAAGATTAAGAAAATTCTTAAGACATCATTATACATCAATCTATCCCATAGAAGGAGTGTTGGTACCATTCACACACACATTATTCGTGGAAGTAGACACTCCACTTCCAGTGTCAAAAATTGAACTGCTAGGGATGTAGTCTGAAATACAGATCGGTCCTCTGTCGGCAGATTCATGATATGCTTGAAGCTACAGTGTCTCTGTAATTGCGCGGCGGACGAAAAATGACTATCAACCATGTTTCACAAAGATCCTAAGTCCAACTTAACTCTAAGTTGGACTTTAAAATTATGATAAAACATTTGTAGTCTTAATATAAAATATATTCAAAAGCGAAAATTCAAGTATTTTAGAAATTTTATAAATTCCACATCAAGATCATGAAATGTCCTTGATAATAGAAAATATGAATGATTTAAATCAACATTTACGCCTTTCAAAATAACTCAATATTATTATTGTTTTCATTATTTATGATTTATTTACTATGTACTGTTTATATCTGGATTCATTTAAAAGTGTTAAAGCATATAATTATATTTTTATGTCTATGGAATTATTTTTACCTTGTAAATTCACTTGTATCAGCCTCCAGCTGTATTGTTGAATATTCGAATAAAACCTTATCAAATCAAATCAAATCAAACTTTTACAAAATATGTTCAAAGATGCTAACGGCTTTCCATAATTATTAAGTCCAACTTATAGATTAGTTCAACTTGGGATCCTTGTGAAACACCCCTCTGCTTAGGTCACGAGCTTGCGGAAAGAAAAAAAATTACCACATGTTGGGGTTATAGTGCCCATGTCTCCGATTAAAAAATGTCAGCAAGTTGTCTCCATCTCCTTCCTACTTTCTACAAGTTTAAATTTCATTCAGTACTTTTAAATGTAGGGTGAACATAGACTATAATTTCATTTAAAACAATTAATATACAATATATCACTCCGTATTCACAACATAGAAAATAAGTTCACATTAGAATAAGATATCACTTTCCAGGATGGTTTCAGTATACTGAGTTCGATAATATCCTATGTTTTCTCGTACTGCAAAATCTCCATATTTGATATGCAGAAAACAGCAAGTGCGATCATTGTCAACAAACAAGAGGGCGCCACCCGACATGAGGCTCGACCAGTTGAAACAGGAAGTGACTTTGGGGCGGGGCTGAGCTCTGCTGGGTTTTCTGGTGGAATAAAAATGAATCAAAATAATACTGACTTTAAAGCGTATGGACTAACTCAGCAGATTTTATTCCGACGATGTGTCGAGTGCAACTCATTAACGTTTCATTCCATATAGAACATTCATATGTTACAAAATGAACACAAAACAATAAAGTAACATCATATTCCCCATTTATATTACACAGCTTGTTTATTTCGTTTAATCGTTTTGTTAAAGACTTACATGAATTTGCATGGGTTAAACATCATAAATTAGTGGAAGAAGGGTTACACCAGATGTAATAAGTCTGCCTTAGTACTCTGACATTTTTTAATGAAAACAATTGCATCAATGCGGTGATGATGGGGCTCGTATATTTTCTGTATAATATTATATCCATATGAAATATTATATCGAACCATATTATGTTCACGAAAATGGATGATAAAAAAGAAGATACAGAAACCAATAAATCAAATCAAATCAAATCAAATCAATAAACCCAAACGAGGAAGAAATAATCCTTATTAAGGTTTAGTCATGGATCCATGGTTTAGTAATAGACGTTTTAATGGTAGAAAACATAATTGCAATGAATTCCTCGTCAAAAAAATATTTTATGTTACATATTGGCTATTGGCGAGGACACGAAACGACCAAGAAAATTTACTCGGTAACCAATTAAACATATAAAAGTCATCAATTTTAGATACCTAAAAGGAAATTGTCGTGGCATCGGTATATTACTTAATAAATCAATTTCATTTTGTATTACGGTGCAACAATCATGATAATGAACAATAGCTGCACTGTAAAAAAATAATAGTCTAAATAACTCAATAAAATTGAGGAAAAGAATTGCCTTATTTTTATTAAGTAAATATTACCTACGGCATCTTAAGTAGAATTTACTTATTTTGCTGAATACATTTTTACTCAGTTAAATCGAGTTACATTAACGTAAATAATTTAAGTATTGTAATCATTTTAGATAATTAAGAAAAAGCTATGATAGGATTACATATGGCACGATTTGGTACCCATCTAATCTAACAAGTAACATCCACTAATCATTCACTACTTCTATTTAAGATTTAACCGTATATATATATATATCTACCACCATCACAAACTATTACATACGCTTCAAATCGACACATATTGAAAGGCTCCAAATTTTATATATACTTGATCGTAGCATCTTAAAAGGAAAATTGGTTAACAATTTCCTGAAATATCAAATTTTTATTTGTTTTGGACTGGGTAACAATTAAAAATTGTCTTGTCTTTGCTTAGCCATGTTAAATGAATTAGTAAATGTTTTAAAGTCCTTAAATTTTCATTTAATCACAAAAAAGAATTGTTTTATTTAAAAAAAGAGTTTAATTTGGTCTTAATGAATATTCATAAATTATGTAAATATTTCTATTACGCACTGCATCGGTCCTTACTTTAAAAAGATAAGAATAATCAACATAAATTGTTTGAGTAATACGTATAATTTCTGATTTTTAGTTAAAATTACTAAATTAATACAAGCTGAAATTACTTAAAGTTCTTATGTATTTTATTTTACTTAAATATTCCACGTATGTTCTACTAAATTGAAAGTTTGAGTTAGCAAGACTTAAATTTAGTGCGTAAGTGGCAAAACTAATGTTTACAAGTGAATTCTACATGGAAAAAATACGTAAAAATTACCAATGAACAAATTATTTTTTACAGTGTGGGGTAAATATTTGATATTGCTCTGATGAGGCGTCCGAGTTTTTTGTAAAAAGAAAAAGATCCAAATTTAAGAGTGAAATAATTTAGGGATGTCCAAATTAGAATATGTCATTTTGGTTAATTGAAAGGAGAAAGACAATTGCACTTTCTCTATTAAACGCATTTAATTCCCTAGCAGCACTGGAACCTAATAGTCAAACTCGGTGTAACCGAAAATGACACTTTTGTTTTGCCATATACCCTACCAAGAAAAAAAAGGAGACAGAACATTGATAGGTATTGATGGAGAATATAATACACTCACCTGTTTCTTCGATAATAGTAGGAGAAACAATCATGTCCTCTGTAGAATAAGGAAGAAGAAAATAGAGCATTTATAAGTGCTAGAAAGTTCTGTTTTGTCTAAAAACCTAATAATTGTTCTTGAAGCGAGACTTAACTGATCAACGGTCTCCCCTAGCCAGTCTAGAGCCATCTATACATAGAGTTTGGCCAACCCGGTTCGAGTTGGACACAATATGGCAACTACTGCTTTGTTAGGCAAGAAGAAAACGAAGGAGTATACGCCATGTTGTTACCGAGTGCACCAAGTTGGCAAAGCTGTGTGTATAGATGGCTCTGGTACTGTTTATCGCACAGCGCTATCGCAGGGTCAAATTGCCAACAGTGCTTAACTTAAAGGGTAAGTCCACTCCATAAAAAAACCTTAGTCATAGTAGAAGCAGAAAAAAATCAGCCAAGCCAATCAAAAAAGTTTGAGCAAAATCGGATAACTAATAAAAACAAGTTTAATATGAATTTTTAATGACATAAACAAGTTTAAAAATCACAAGACAAGGCAACACACTCATGAATCTGTGACGTCATTGCCTCACTATCAAATATTTGTTTTCTTTAAATTGATAATATAAATTACCAATTTCCCTCCTAAAAACCTTATTTCCTCACTTTAGGATCCAAGTTATATTGAAAGTAATGTTTTTGTGTGGATGTACTAGTATAGAGTATTTTTTCAGTTAAATCATGAAAATTATGAATTTTGATAAACTATTTATATAAGAATCAATAACTATGAATATACAATGCTCAGAAAAAAGTATCAATTCTTCAATTTGTGTCGTGATTTCCATTGTTTCATTGGTTTTTCACACTTTTTCAAAGATTCATAACTTCCTTATTAGTTTTCCGATTTTACTCAAACATTTTTAATGATTGGTTTGTCTGACTTTTCTGCTTCTATTGGAAGTAAGTTATCTTTGGAGTGGACTTGGACTTTAATACCTATTTTCCACTTCGAAATAGAGGACTCGATCCGAGCGCAGCTAGGGAAGCAACGAGTTACGAGTTACTTCTACAACTGACCTGAGATAGCACTAGATGGAATTTTGCGGTAGTGATTCTTGTACGGCATGGCTTTAATGTCAAACAATGATTCTGTATTATGTTCAATCACATCTCCTCTCGTTTTCGACAATAAGGTGTTTTTTGTTTGTTTGATTGTATGTTTTTGCGCGGGAGGACCCTATAAACCAAGTGTCGCGGCGTTGACTAATACGACAGGGATAAAGACTTCCATTACATGATAAACTTGTTTAGGGTCCTGGGGGTGTTTTACAAAGATTCTAAGTCGAACTTAACTCTAAGTTGGACTTAAATATTATGGAGAGCCATTTGTAGTCTTATAATGAAATATGTTCAAAAGCAAAAATTCAAGTATTTTAGACTTTTCATAAATTCCACATCAAGAACATGAAATCTCCTATAATAATAGAAAATATGAATGATTTTAATCAACATTATGCCTTTTAAAATAACTTTTACTAAATATTTTCAAGGATGCTAACGGCTGTCCATAATTGTTAAGTCCAACTTAGAGATAAGTTCAACTTAGGATCTTTGTGAAACACTGCCCAGGGGGTGTACATTTTGAGAAAAAGTGCGAAGAAATCGAAAAGGGTGAGATTCTGACCAGTGGATACAAATTGTTTTGGGGAAGGGGGGGGGGGGTGGAAAACCTGCAGTCATGCGTGTGTGCAGTATATCTTCTGATAGCACGGCCATAAGTTTTGCAGACACCCTCGTGGATCCGCGTCTGTGGAGTTTTCTAACATCGACTCTTCTGAATACCAGGCTCAGCCGTTACAATATACCAAACCAAAGGGGATACCTACCAGTAGGAGTAAAGAACGTGAAGTTTGCACACTCTCCTTTCCCATAAGCATTCATCGGACAAACTGCGGTCTCGTAGGTGCTATTCTCCTTGAGTTCGGTCAGATAGAATCTTCTAACGCCCTCAGACAAACTGCCCGCTAAAATGACCGAGTTAGGCGCATCGTTGGGATAATAGTTTACCTTCATTACATTTCCTACCGACTAGGGCGATAAAGGGGGAAAAGAAAAGGATAAAAGGGATATAATGAGGCGTATTTTATGTTTTTAGAATGTGTGCAATGGGAGAAAATGTGGATGACGCTCAGGGTTGTTTCAATTTAGTCCGATTTATATTTGAAAAAATGAAACGATGGAAATATTAAAATTCAGAATGATAATCATAATAACAATTACGATACACAATCTCTGAAACACGAAACAACTAGACAGGCTTCTCTTAATGCTATTAAGTGGGGGTATCTAAGTATTATGGTGTCCAGGACACAGATGCAATTGCCCCCCCCCCCCCCCTCCACCTCCCTCCGCCCTTTAGAGAAAAAAAATTGTGCAAATTGTTGATTAAAAAGATTAAAAAAACATTTTAAAAAACACCGGCCAGTCCGAATATTTCAGTGTCATGGATTTTTTTGTTTCGAGAACCGTTCATCGATTAAGTTATATTCTAGGCTTTTTTGTTTCTGTCTACCTAGGTGTGGTTTATAATCACTAGCTATAAATGAAATAAATAGTCTTAATGCACAAACCTTAATTTCAACTCGTCTGTATAGGAGGTTATATGACGTAACTGGTATTATGTGTACAGCATTCAGTCCCGGCGACCAGGAAAGCTCAAACGAACGACGTCTCGCGCCAAATCGTTTCCTGTTCAAAATTGTAGGAGGATAAGGACGACCTGATAAACAGAGAGAAAAGTAGTGTAAATGTGTTTAATCTTTTAGACTCGAGAGGAATGACGATGAAAATTAAGACTCCTAGAGACGGTAGAACCATCATTCGAGAAATATACTATCTTATAAAAGCCCCTAACACCTTTGTTAAAGTAGACTGCTTTAGAATGGGGTCCAGACAGCACGCCCTGGGAGTGTTTCACAAAGGTCCTAAGTTGAACTTATCTCTAAGTTGGACTTAAAAATTATGGATAGCCATTCGTATCCTTATAATTAAATATATTCAAAGTCAAAAATTCAAGTATTTGAGACTTTTCATAGATTTCCACATCAAGAATATGAAATCTCCCATGATAAAAAAAATATGAATGATTTGAATCAACATTTTATGCTTTTTAAAATAACTTTTACAAAATATGTTCAGGAAGCTAACGGCTTTCCATAATTCTGAAGTCCAACTTGGAGATAAGTTCAACTTAGGATCTTTGTGAACCCCCCCCCCCCGGATAACGTGACCAAAGGTCCATGGTCATTGGTCGCTTTAGCCAGGATCGGGCAGTCTGTTGGTCGGGTTGTCCAGGTACCCTTTAGTATGAAAGGTTCGGCTTATTAACATGTTTATGACGATATCAAATGTAATTATAGCAAGGACCAGACTTGTCCGAAGTAAAAGCATACGAAGACAGACGTTTTGGAAAGTAGCATGGTTGTTGAAAGCTTTAAAGATGCATAAAAGGAAGAACAGTTTTGTAATAGACCACATGGACAAGATCTTTCAAAATCTATCTGTAGTTGAGCTGGATTAACCGTATTAATCACTCGGCTTAACCCGTATACTTTATTTATCTTTAATCATCTGATTTTTGTTTCTATCAGTCCTTAACCAATAATATGGACGACTGATGTCCTACAACAACTCAGGTTTGAATTTTTGACCTACCGTTCACATCAAACGTAATACTCGCTGACCCTAAGACGTTTGTTGCTACACACGTATAGTTTGCATAATGCTCTGCGGGCTCCAGCCCTACGATGACCAGTTTTCGTCCTGATACCGCTTCCGGTCTGAAAAAAGAACAAATGAAATGAAGATGTAACCAGCCGATCACCAGATCATCTTAAAATAGAGGCAGGAAATATTGTACCAAACCTGCCGACAATTTAGCCCTATAATTTCTTAAAGCAAAGAGATAAACCAGAATTTCTGGTGCGGCTATAATCGTACGATTTATCTTCCAACAGGTCTAAAATGGAGATAATTTTTTGCGATCTGCCCATGACAAATATTTTGAAAGGGGTTGGTGTCACAATCCATCCTTTACCCCGCCCCCGCTCTACCGATGCTCATTTCTGTGAACTTCAGCGAGAAAAAATTACGGCAAAACATATAATATATACACATGAAGAATTACTATTATTTACACTATTGTGAACCATAGCCCTTGTATGGAGTTATACTATTAAAAACATATATGCTAACAAGAATTGTTGTTTTCAAATCGAGAAAAAACGGAAGTCTTATGGTTTCACACGTAGGACAGGAACGAGGGTCAGACAGGTGACACCAATTCGCAGTTTCATTCAAAAATTAATTAAAGATTAATTTTGTAGAAAGTACACTTGCACGAAATGTTTTAACCGTCATCACCATGCATATCGCTCTATCTATCTATGTCCCATAATTTTCTGCTGTAAATGTGTAACTTCATCAGCAAATATATTTTATATGAACAATGTATTTGTAACCTTATAGGTAAATGTTTACTCGCAAAGTTGAAGACTATTTGTAATTTTATATAAAGTATTATAAATTATGTAAAATTTTCTTTATGACAGAGAACTGAGACTAACAAATCTATAGAAACATAAAAATAAATACCCCCCCCCCAAAAAAAAAAAAAAAAAAATTGCTTGGAGACCGTTCGGGGCAGCAGTGAAATGGACCTTGAGAAACAGATACCCAATAACTTCCTGTCTTCAGCTTGTATCCCATTTATATGAATATGATATAAGTAGCATTCTTACGAGTTGTTTCTGGTCGATAGCGGTTTCCCGTTCTTCAACCAGTGGTATGTCGGGATTGGTAGACCAGTGAACAAGCCTTGTAAGAGGACATACCGACCAGCACCAACCTTGCGCTCTACGTAACTTTGGTCAGATTGCGGCGGATCTATATCAATTGGAAATCAGGTAGCAAGTAAGAGAGGGAGATTTATACCAGCAATGTCTTGGGCTCGGGGTTGAAATGGGGAGAGAAAGAGAAAGAGAGAGAGGGGGAAAGAGAGAAAGAGAGAGAAAGAGGGAGAGAGAGAGAGAGAAAAGGGAGGGAAATCAGAGGAAATGGGACACAGGAAGAGATACTAAGGAAGAGTTAGAGTTAGAGACAACAAGAAAGAAATTAAAAGTATCCTAAGCACTGAGATGATAGCCCGAGATAAATTATTCAATAAACCATTGTTTTGTTGTATTGTAGTTAGTATAGTTTTTGGCGTAATGCCATTTTGTATTTTTAAACATCATGACAGTATACGTATTTTACATATATTCGAATTTCTGGGTCAGTCTCATAATAGTGCCCTTTTCTCCTTGTTTGGCTGCTACCTTCTCCATATACATGCATCTATCTGCTTATAGAAATGTATGCTATTTTCTTGTATGTTATCTTGACATTTCAAAATTCTTCTGTTGTTTATTTATGCTACCTGTGAAATAACATAAATGAGTGAAATAATTATGTTATCCTTTATCAGCTTAGGTATTATATACCATAACTATACTTTTCAAAAACGTAAGAAAGAGAGGGTAAACATCTATTTACTCACACTGGACAACCAGTTCCACCGTCCTTGATGATGATCTACGTCTGTTTAAAATATTTCTTGCAGCACATGTGTAGGTGCCGGAGTAATTCCTTGTTATCTGAGGAAGATATAGAGAGCCATCCAGGTCGGTATAACCTAGATAGGGAAGAGAAAATAAGAATCTCAATAATTCCAATTCAATAAAAAGTGAGAAATATGTGGAAAGTACCGAAGTGTGGCGTCATACTGGCCAGGTTGTGAAGGTTGCTGGTTCCAAGCAATGGTGTGCCAAGCAATGGTGTGGTGATCACACCAGCGCTAAACATTAAATTTGCCCTGCTCCAGTACGCTGCTTGAATTATTTCACGGGGAACCTCATGCGCAGGCACTGTCGTTTGGCAAACTGGACGACGAGCAAATACGGCGTTAGCCCTTCGATACTCTATACTGGGAAATTAGCTATGTCATATGATCAACTTTTTTGTTGTTCTTTAATCTTTTTGGATAGACAGAATTGTACATGAGACTAATTTAAAGCTATCATTTGAAGAAGATTTATGAATTGAACAGTAACAGTGTACACGATTTTGCGAGTTTACGTCATCTGGGAAATTAATTAACAATTTCCAGGTAGTATTTTGTTATCATTGTTACAAGATTTGTTTTCTCGTTTGAAGCACACAACCTAAATGCACACAAAATGATTTCATCTTCGTTTGAATTCATGTTTGAAACCAATCATACTAAATTGGTTTTAAATTATGATAAATCTAAGTTTATGGTTTTTACAAATAGAAATATTGATTTTAACAACATTCACTTACGAGTAAATGATCATAATTTTGAACGTGTAGATAATCTTAAGTTTTTAGGTATTGTAATTAATCATAAATTGAAGTGGCATGAGCATATAAATGTGGTGTGCAATAAAATAGCAAAAAATATAGGTATTTTATATAAAGTTCATTTTTATCCCTTAAATATTTTGAAAATGTTGTATCATACTTTAATAACACCATATTTTAATTACTGTATAGTTGCATGGGCAAATTTTAATAAAAATGATATGTTAAGGTTACTTAAGCTTCAAAAGAAAGCAATACGCATTATAACTCATTCCCAGTATTATGCTCCCTGTAATCCTTTATTTTGTAAACTTGGAATTTTGAATGTAATCGATATGCATAATTTTTATATTGCAGTTTTCATGTTTTCATGTTTTAATGGCAACTTGCCTACCTTTTTATCTACATGTTTTAACTTGAATTGTGATGTGCATAATTTTAATACTAGAAATGCCCTAAATTATCACCTCCCCAAGATTAGAACGACTTGTATGAAAAATTCACTATTTTTTAAAGGACCATTAATATGGAATAGTATACCTCAGGAAATTAAAAAATGCAAAACTCTCAATCTTTTTAAAATCAAATATAAACAATTTCTGTTAAAAAAGTATAATAATCAGTATCAATAGTATCGGCCAATTTTTGACATTTTTTTTTTATATACTCTGATCGTGCATGATAGTAAGTTTTAATATGTTCTTTGTTTTTTGTTCTGTTCTTTTGTTCTCGTTTTCATGTATGTGTGTTTTTGGGGGTAGGCTTTTATATAAGGAACTTCCCTCCTTTCTGCCTATCCCAAATGCTCTTATAAATTGCCATTGTATTTGTTATCACTTTTTTTGTGTCTTTTTATATTTATAACTCCATTCTGTATTTGTATGTTTTAAATGTTTTTATGAAGAGTATTGAATAAACTTTGAATTGAATTGAATTGAATTGAACTAGATGTTACTAATATTTCTAGAGGAAATTCCTTTTTTAAAGCTTTCTCATGCCTTAAGATATATTTTTATGGCAAAACATATACATATATCTTCCTTCTGAGCTTAAAAACTGGAAATCGTCAGCTTTTCGCAAGAAAGTCGTAAGAGCTATTTATTGTCAAGAGTAGGAATGGCCTCCTTTCGAGCAAACGACGACTTTGCGATGCTTAAAAATATATTTTAACAATGTAAAATCTGAGATGCATGGCCTTAAGTGATATCAGTGTCTGTGATATGGTGTAATATTGAAGCCCTAAAAAAATTGCGCTTCAAATGATGATGAAGTGCCTCCAAAAAGTAAAAATCTTACTAATTTTCCTCAATAAACTATAGTGTTATATAAAACCGTTAAGGAAACGCAAAATTTGATTTCGATTTCCATTCATAAATATCTTGATAATCAGACAGGCGATCGGCTTGTAATAGTCATGGGGTTCCTGACTGGCTTAAAGGTTTATAATTACCATTGCGGCATGCGCTAATTCCAGGATTCTGTTTCAGAATCTGAGACAAAGATACCCAATCCCTTCAATTGCGTCTAGAATTAGGATGTTGGAGTGAGATACATTACTATTAATCTTTTCGGATAAACTCGGGTAGTCTTGTAGCTGCCATAATACAATGGGTGTTGGGAATCCATCTGCTATACAAGTCAATGTGATATTGTCTGTCTCGTTGACATAGATTCTCCCAGGCTGATCCCAGCTCCAAAATGGCGCCATCCGAGGTCCAATGCCCCTAACTTTTGCTGGATCTGCGAAGAGGAAGAGGGAGAGAAGGGGAGAGAGTGATAGAATATAGAAAGAGAAAAAGAGAAAAGAGAGAGAGAGAGAGAGAGAAAGAGAGGATTAAAGAGAGAGAGAGAGAGAGAGGGAGCGGAAAGAGAGAGATCCGTTTGATTCGATCTGATCTTTCATTACCCACATTTATTTCGCATACAGATAAAGATATATACAGTATACAAATACATATTCTGGCATCATTCTAATCGAGATTAGTCCCATCAAAATAAACAGTAAAATTATTTACAATTTACAATATCAATAGAAAAATATCTTTGTATCAAAATTTGAAAGGGGAAAGGGGAAAGGGAAGGCAGAGAGAAAGGAAAGAAAGGGCGAGAGAGAGTGATAGAGAGACATAGAAAGACAGACAGAGGGAGCGTAATAAGATATTCCCTATCAAAGCATCTTATGGTCAGATTAGTTATCGCTGGTTGCGAGCTATTGACCCGTGCACCCCTGTCTATCTAATATCTAGGCTAATACCCCTAGACACCAGACAACTGACCGAATATAATTATAACACTAAACAGCCAATCTTTTGTCGGTTATCGGTGACTCAATCCTTTTTCAACGTCTTATGTTATTGCGTTCGAATTCAGTTACAACGTTGATGTATTTTATTCGGGAACCTATATTATACAAGCTTTGCTTCTTATTAGGTTCCTAATATTTCACATCATTATGTTTATATTTTACATGTCTATCATTGTTTTATTATGCATTCTCTTGTTAAATCTTAAGTATGAGACAATCTCGTTATTTGAAATGTGGACAATTAAAACAAAACAAAACAAAATTGCTTTTGAGTGTGACTGGAGGTATGAATCAGTGAATTTTTATAGAAATACTTTGTTAACTGCTGCAAATAATATGTGGAACAAATTGCCACTTGATATTAGATGTTCAGGGGATTAAGCGGAATTTAAACGCGGACTAAATAATTGTTAAATAATTTAACACTGGAATGGATATTCTATCATCATTTCAACTAGACGCATAATTCTTATATCTGTACCAAATTTCTGTAAACTTGAGCGAACTATCTAGCCATTACATGTTGGTACATATCCTTCGATTTTCTTTTATATTGACTGCCCTACACTTGATAATTCCTGTTTGTCATGTTATATATATATATATATATATATATATATATATATATATAAGCCTATGATTTGTTTGTTCGTTTATCTTTTGTTGTCGTTGTAAATATCTCTTTAGTTATATGAAATGAATCTTCGTAAAGGACCAAGTTTAAAAAAACACTTTTTATTAAATGGGCTATCCTTTTTAAGTATGTGATATAAATGAATAAATAGAACAAATGAGGGAGCAAGGTGTCGTGTTTTATAGGGGTTCATATACTATACTCTCAGTTTTATGGTTGAGAGTTCGAATCCCAGCCCGGACTAACTGAATGAATTTCAGAATAAAAACATCAAATGACAAGCAAAAAAGCAAATCGAAACAGGCAGAAAAGTTTAAAAGGAGGAGGGCATATTCCTTTAATAGAATGTTACATTATTCGGTCAAGATCAAAGAACATACAGTCACCATCGTCTGTAATGGTCATGTTATTTTTATCCACTATTTATCTTAATGATTTACTTCTTCTATCACCTGAACAGGTGCTAATGAGGTGCTAACGAAGACCACTTCAGTTGACTATAAATTATTATACTTCTAATGTTCATGCCCCATTGCATGCGATGAGCTTGGCAATGTTCGCTAACCACGTTCCTTGTTTTAACCTGAAATTACCCCAAAGAATAAAATAGTGTCACCACACATTTTCCGCTGAATAATTAACCAACGACCCGTGTTCTAAACACCTTTGATACCTTCGGTGTAAATAACCTCTTATCTCGGAGGGAGGTTCCCATTGCCATCCTACAACAAAAACACGAAAGAACTGTTTTCCAACGCATTGATGGAATGTTATACCAAACCGTTGTTCTTGTAGTTAATAAGATTTGCTATAAATTTAGAGAGGCTTTTGACCCTGGAAATAAACCTGAGGTTACAAAAATGTGCTGAAAACTCGGAGAGCAATGACTTCGATGTGCACGTTTGGGACTACGTACATCCGACAGATATAATGTCTCCATTAACTCCAGTTTGTTGCTCAGCTTTATGCTTTCCTAATTAGATTACTTTGGTAAATCATTCCGAAGCATCGATCTTTGTAGGCATAAGGCCAGTCACGCTAACCAACTTCATTAACTCGGGAATGGGGGTTGCCATCTTATAATACAGCCATTTTACACAGTATAGGCGGCACCCGCTCAATCTGTTTACTGTGAAAATCCTGAAATTTAATCGACGTTCTTCGATTTTAACCATCCAGTAATAAGTCTTGAATTTGTTTGCAATAAGTGCACATCTGAGAGAAAGTTACCATGTTTATTTTTCTTTAATTTCCTGAGAAATCTCGATTTAGAAATCTTCTTCTTCATTTAACTATAAAAGCTTGCTGGTTAGCGAAATAAGAATGAGGTGTAACATTGTATACGAACGGGAGCAGTGGAAACATACCGGGCCATGGAATGAGTGGGAATTGTTCTGGGGCAAATTAATTCCCGGACGATGACATATCACATGCATATTTCATGAACAAAGGTAAATTAGGAGCTGATGATCATTTCGATTCCCTACTCTAATGTAGTTTTCTCCCACATCACCCATACGCACACCCGCACCAAAACCCGCACACACACACACACACACACACACACCTTTGTATACCCTGACATCCTCTTTCTTTTTCTTAGGATCCAGATTAGCGTGTGACCCATTTTTACAAACATAATGAAACCTGCTACTTTTGCTAACTTATCTATAGTTACTGGAAGTCCTTTCGACCACGCCTTCTTCCTCAAAACAATCAGAAATAAAAACTAGAATGTTATTTCCCAGAACAATACAATGTATTTCTTATTCTCTGAGCCTTTCACTTTGTTATTGTAGGGGCTGTGAAACATGAGCAATACGAAAAATCCTAAAAGTCCTGACATTTATTTACCACCTTTTCAGGTTAAAACAGCGAAGTATTGAAAGTGCCCTTGGCTTCTTTGCAATCGTGGTCACAGAAAAATATAATTTCAATATTCATTGATACGGATCGATCATAAATATATTGTACTTGTCAGAAAATTGATGCAGTCAGAATTCCAGTTTTTAATTTGTATGTGTTTTAACGAGTGGTCGTTTTACAAACGGTTTCCAGTTTTACAAATCTGAGATGCATGGCCCTACGTGATATCAGTGTCTGTGATATGGTGTAATATTGAAGCTTTGACAAATTACGCTTCAAAATGATCATGAAGTGCCTCGAAGACGTAAAAATCTTTGAATTACCGGTTTTACCATACTTATTATAGACTGTAGTGTTATAAAAACCGTTGGGGGAAACGGTTTTTGAAATTTCGATTCCAATAGTAATATATTGATAATCAGACAGGCGATCGGCTTGTTAAAGTCAAAGGAAGCCTGACTGACCTAAAGGTTTACAATTATGATTGCAACATGTGCTAAATCCAGAATTTTGTTTAGAATATGAGGAAAAGATTCCCAATCCCTTTAAGCAATTCCGCATCAAGATACAATTTCTGCAGAGATGCACCAGGCGGAACTTCAGGTCACGAGTACTTTGCAAAGGACTCGAGATTCATGATCTAACAACCTACAATGATATTAACGTCTTAATCAATAAGCAAAGGTCTTCCAAATATAAAATATTTAGCCTTAGAAATTAATTATTCAACCTTCAATCGTCGATGGTGTTGTTAATTTAGAAAGAACAAGAACTAATTAGAAACCACAGAGGAAGTGAGGGCCGGAAATGTGTCATAATAATTGGAAGAAGCGACCATTAAGATTGAGGTCATCAATTCTGGCGCCGAATATTCTTTAAGAAAGAATCAATATGGAGGATACATCCCGTCGTCTGTTTGGAGCAAAAAGGGCGTTAATTCATATCATTGTACACAAAGCTAACGCCCTTCTGCATGGCTTCAAGCAGATGCCGTGTACTTGTAATAAATTTAGATACACACGTAGACAGGCCTTTCATGCGATAGATGAATTACAATGAATACCTAATGACTCGGAAGCACAATATCCAGTGAGTAGAGTTTGGGATCTTGCGCAATGGTCGGTGGTACCGGCATGTCTATAGTTCCCTTGACGCTTCACGTGATCTTATTCATTTTAGATTACAGGTGATAAGCTCTACATGATCCGACTGTCGATCTATCCCTTTTTCTTTTAATAGGTAAAAGGGTTAATTTTCTAGATACGTCATCATTAAATAAGGGGTACCCCAGGGATATATGCCAGGGTCTTAACTATTCATTCCGTGCTCGGTGACCACGTGACGACGTTACGCGGGTCTTGAGAGCTTTCCTCTTAAAGCTTATCTGCCGTAGTTTACAAGAGGGATTAGACCGCTCTGCAAGGTCACTGGACGGTGGTTATCTCATCAACTCAGCTCTCAGTTAGCATAAGAAAAAGAGGATCATGGGGGACTAATGGTCACCGATTAGGCATTGTTTGTTATATAGAGGGCGCAAGTAGCTACCAGTAGTGCAGTTGGCCTTTAACACCACAGCAATACCCTATACCCTTGGATCAAGGGCGGATCCAGGATTTTATATAAAAAATCGGGTGAGGGAGGTAATGTTCCTAAAATCTTACAATCTTTAACTCTTGACCTGGGTCGGCTCCAGGATTCTGTTGAAGAGGGGCCAATATATTCCTTCAATTTTTCGACAAAAAAACCCTACAAAACTAAAATAAACAACATTACAAAACAAAAAAACACGAAACAAAATGGGTCATCCCGATATTCGTTCCCTTTTCTCTACTAAATCCTCTCCGACGGAAGCATTAAGAAGAAGAAGAAGGGAAAAGGTCAACACTTCATAAGAGGAAGGGACACATTCTTGGACTTATGTACAGTACAATCTGATATTCAATTCGGATTTTAAAAGGGGCGCGGGAGGTTGTGATCCCCCTTACCCTTTACTCCGCTGAATCCCTAGACAACAATCCCCGACCTAGATTGCGCCAACAAATATCCAGTTCAAGATGAATTGTTGAGATACTTCAATTAGTTTCACTGGGTATTTCAAGATTCATATCGAGTACTCTTTTCCGAGTTCATACCAGATAAGTATCATCATGTTATAATGAGATGTGACAACATTCTTTTCCAGACCTGTTCATTAAATGCTACATGATGCAACGCCTATTAATTCATGATGCCCGGGAAAGTAGGGACTGCCATCCCGGACACTAACCCCTTTGGAACTTCCCGTATGACAATCACTCACAGACAACTGCCCCCAAATCGAGTGGTTAAAACAAACAATTAAAATGTTTTAAAGCAAGAACAGAGAGGAAGGAAACAGGGAAAGGGTAAAATGACGAGAAAAGGCATTGACCACCTCTGACATCCTCCCCTACTCAGTATCCTTATAAAAATGCACATTTCATTTGCCGATTGAGACCAGTGCCCTGCCCCTCCCCTTCCCCAACCTTGGATGGGTGGGCAGACGCTACGCCAGTGGATATAATAATCATATATTCGTTACATTAAGGAGGATTTTAGACATCATACTCACATCTAACAGTAATCCTATAGACCTGCTCATCAGATAGGTCGGATCGAGACCCAAATCCGGATATCTGTTGGAAGACACATCGGTAAACTCCAGCATCATTTGGACCGAGTTGAAATATCCGCAGTTCAGCAGTGACCGATTGGTTATCCGGGCTGTACACCATGGAAAAATTCCGACGAGAGTTTATCGGAGTTTTCATGTTGCTGCTGAATATTGGTTCTGGAAGGGAATCAAAAATAACATCATGAGCTGGGACCCATTTCACAAAGCCTTTTTTTCAATGACAAATGACAAAAATCAGTTACAAATTTGCTGATAACCAATCAGAACCAAGGATTTCAGTAGCTTATAACAAAAACTGTCATTTGTCACTGATGACAAGTTTTGTGAAACGGGGCCTTGATCAGCTGATGACAAAATTATCAAGAAAGGGTCAAGGTTCAATAGCAAACCATGTAGTCGTCCCGGAACTGGAATGTTCGTGGTTCGAGACTAAATGGACACCCTGGTACTATTTTTTCTGGACCATGTTCATCAATTACTAATCCCTGTCTCAGGATGTCTCAGGACCAAAAAGGGAACAGGTTCCCTGGTTGTTGGACTACAACCTTAAAAAGAACTTTAGACACATCCACCCCCTCCCCCCTTTTTTTTTAAAAGAAGCCTCGATTAAAGAATGGTATCATTCGTAACCTTTCTACGTTCAGCGTAGTCATTCTTACAGGTGTTTTGGTTGTTGTATGTATAGTTACAAAAACACGATCGCAATTATAGCAAGGTCATTCTCAGTACCCTCACCTCTTGCCAAATCATGGTCAGATTACAAAATAATAAATAGGTGATGGACCAGCCAAATGAATTTCCCCTATAGGTTGATTTTTCGAAAATCTAGCTAGTGTGTAAAAAGTCGGCGTTTAATTGTTTTGTTGCAAATCAATTGATCGTAGTTACCTGAGAATTCGCTTCCCTTGTCGCGTTTCGTCCACTTCAAGATGAATTTGTCGTTGAACCTGTTGACACGGCATCTCAAAACCACATTTTCCCCTTGGGTACGGGTGTGATTGAATACTGTATTGGACCTGTTGAAGAATGGAGTTATCACCGCTGGAAAACGAGACAAAAGAAATATCAATACATCGTTTTATAACTAAACTAAAATCGGATTTACCATGTAAACAAACTCATATAAAAAAAACATAATACAGTATTCGTGCAGAACATGATTATTTTAAAAATAAAGTTGAGTACTGGTCATGCGATTAATTGTGAAAGAACTTGTCTTGAATCAATCAGGAAAGGTTCTATAGTAAATAATAAGTGATATGATATTGTAAAGTTTTTGGGTGATCAAAGTTAAAAGAAATGGACTCAATCTTGCACACAAAAAGGAGCACATGCACCACACCCAGAAATAGGTAGGTAACTTTCGTATTCATATAGTATCTACGCTATATAAACCGATTTATTATTATCATTATTAATTGTTTTATTATTGTTGTCGTTATGACGCCTGGGCCCCGTTTTTATAAAGAGTTGAGATTGATCCAAATCAATCGTAAGTCCTCTAATCAATTGCAGGTTTGCAGTCCCCTATCTCTCATGTACATACTTGCGATTAATATCTACTCTTTATAAGTTGGGGCCCGAGGGGAGTGTTTCACAAAGACTAAGATCGACTTTAAATTTGACTTAACTGTGGCAGGCTGTTCATGCAACCGTTTGCTCTCACCATTTACTGTCAGTGGTCTCTCAAAGGACGTACAAATCATGGTCACAAATCTGCAGAATTAATATTTTTTTTGATAATTCATTATTAAAGGAAAAAGCATTATCTAAGGATCATAATGCTGAGAGCAAACAGTGGCATGAACGGCCAGCCAAAGTTAAGTCTAACTTAAAGTCGATCTTAGTCTTTGTGAAACACTCCCCTGGTGTGCTATAAGTACAAGCGTTACTTACTTGGTCGTGTTGGATCCAGGCAATTTCTCCTCATCCATGCTCCCGGGTTCGGTTCATTGAGCGGCAGTTCAGGACAGTTCCTTTGATAACGGTTAGCACATGGGAACACGGTCGATCCTAAGATGATGGTGTTACCTGTGAAGAGTATAGTGTGAACACGGTTTATTTGGATTAAGATCATTGAAGTATTACTTTGTGTTAAATAGTTGAGTATGACCATAGCGTAATGGGAATACGGTCGATAATGTAATGATAATAATAATATCAATATTAGTATTATTGTTAATTTCATTATGATTATTATATCTATCATTATTATTTGTTATAATCTTTTTTTAATTATTAGTGGTAGTACTTATTATTACTATTATCATTATTGATTATACACTTATAATGGTGATGATAGTTTTATTAATAATTATGACAAAGATAATAATGATGAAAGTAATGAGAGGAAGATGAAGGTGAAGAAAAAGAACAATAAATGCATTTTAACACCTCCTCCTCGCCGTCTGTACCCCTCCAGCTCCAATAAAAAAGAAATCAAATTACAAATGTAATCCGAATACTAGTACTCTCACATATTGTCTGCATGTCGGTCGAGCTCATTTGAAAAAGGTTACAAAGGTAATATTCTGTCATTCTAAGCACGAATTTTGCCGAACGGCATTTTGGCCCCATTCACATTCATGACAGAAGAGTGTTCGTGAGGAGAGGGCTAATATAATTATGTATAATATGAGCGCTATCTAATACGCGAGCGTGAACAGAGCCATACATTGTATACCAAGAATGGTCATGCTCCGTTTTCAGGCAAACGCGTTATCAAGAGCGATATACACGCCAACCTCATAATACATTTTATAGGCGTTCATAATTAAACGAGACAAAATGACATTCGCATCTTTCACCCCGGGTGAAGAGAAGCAATGCATGTAAAATGCCTTGCTCAAGGATCTAACAGTCGTGCTATTGTTCAAAACCCACAACCTTTTTATCCCCAGTCCAGTGATTAAATCACCAGACTACAACACCTTAAAGACACGTATGAAAGTATGTCATACCCCATGCTTAGGGTCTTACAGGTAAGACCACTAGCTAGTATAAGGAAAGGTGCCTAGTCCCAAGAGCGATCTTCTGGATAACTCTTGTGAACCCTATAAATTTGTGGTGTGAATGAAACTATTTCTACACGCTTCAAATTTCTGGTGTGAATGGGGTTAGAGGTACAGAAACGATATCCAATCCAATCTTTTGATCCGTTTCAAATGTATTATTCAGAAGAGTACTACCCCCGTAGTACTAGACAACATCATCTTCAACCACACCAGTAGCTGTTCTACGTGGGAGCTTGGTAGATCAAGCCCCCCCCCCCCCCACCCTTCTCCCTCGAGCCAAACTTTTTCTTAATTATGAATGGATCTGTTCTGCAAAGCACATGTAGAAAATAAATGCATAAACCTCCAGGGCCCGCAAAATCCTCCCCCAAAAAATATTCTTCTAAAACCGCGTCTGTTCCACGTTATACCTGAGGCTAGACAATAATACTCTTTTTTTTTCTTTTCCAATCCATTTATCCAATCCATCATGATTAGAAAAGAGGCGACCCTTTTTGTTCTTGTTATATCCAGTTTACTCTGTGGAGCAGTTCATCATTTATTAAGCTTTTTCAACAATCACCTGAAGATATTTTAAAAGCGAAAGTCCATATATGAATAACAAGAATGTCCTGAAGAAATGCTTTAATTTGTCTCCGTTGTCATTGCAAATTCGAAATGGAATGAACAGCACAAATTCGACCTGAACGTCGCACTATTCGCATGTTCTGAAGACAATTTTTGTGGCAAATATTCTATCCTGTTTTGTAATGTACTGTGGAAGATGGAAACATCTACCAGACATTACAATGAAATGATATTGATTACAAAATGGTCCCTCGGAGAGGACCTAAAGCCGTCGGTCATCTGGTTGCTTACTAACAAGCATTTATGCTTTCTTAGCAGTCATGTAAAATAACTACCACTACTGCTCATAAATTCAACATTGATAATGATGATAATTGTATATATATATATATATATATATATATATATATATATATATATTATCAGTATTATCATCATCATCATCATCATAATCATTACCATCATCGTCCTCCTCCTCATCATCAATAGCACCATTATTATTGGTATTAAGTATTTTATTATTATATTATTGTTGTTGTTGTTTTTCATTTTAGTTAAGTAATTTTTTCTGTTACGATAATTATTACCGCAATTAGCTAAGAGTATCATCGTTAACATCATCCTAATAATCATCTACAAAATCATCATCATCGTCACAATCACTGTTGTATTGGTAAGGGTAATAATGATGTTGATTCATGTATCTTTTGTGATTAGTGTCATCCTTCGTTGTCCTTTTTATTAAAAAAAAAAGAAAACAATTATTTACTTCTCTTAGACTATCAAAATTGTAAGTTCAATTACTATATTTCGGTATGTATTTTATATTACCGTTATTTTATTCATGAAGTCACGCAGATTGGACAAAAATGGCAGCGGGTTATAATCATTCACTTAATATTTTGTTTTCTTCTCCCGGCAGAACATGAATAAAATTAATAATTCTCGTTGTGTCATACACCAAACTGGTATATTTTATCTGCACCGAAGCAATCGAATGGATATTAATTTAAATCTAAAAGGAGTATTTCGAGAAAGAAAAAAAAACAAAAAAACAACAACAAGAACAACAAAAATCAAATTTCACATTCAGATGCATAAAAAGAAGTCATTCGTCAATTTAAGCAATTAAACTGCCTTTCAATATTTTGCCACAAGAGAAATAATTCGAAACTGATTAAAATACTTACATGTGGGAATAGCGATCAAGTCGTTTCGAAATGACTTCCCCGCTTGTAAATACAGTACTTTAGAAGCCACGACGAGGAACACCGTTAATATTGAATAAACATCCATCGTCCTCCGATCAAAGAGTTATCTACAAAAAAGCGGGAAAATGATGGTTTAGCTCTCAGGGTGAATAACCGATTAATAAAAAGTTATCGTATACACACAATGCTATTCAATGAAATAGATTTGTAGATAAACAATAATCTCTTTTCGTTAAACAGAGCCTCCTTTTATGCAAATTTATAAGCCATGGTAATCAGACAATCTCAAAAACTATACACGACCACTTTACAATAATCAGGGCGTGTGTTTGATCTTTCTTCTTATTCTATCCGTTCTTCTTCTTCTTCTTCTTCTTCTTGAATGGAAAGATTTATCCCCTTGTTAATATGAACATCAACACAAAAAACGGCCATTATAATGATGATAATATAAAAGCATATAAGGTTCGAAAGAAGTGATGAAATGATGAAATGTATTCAAATCAAATTTAAATTCTTCTAACTCATACATGTATAAAACTAAAACAACGTAACAATATCACAGGCATAAACTGAAATAAAAGAGTAAAAATTGATATAATATAACAGATGAGAGCACATAAGATGTTGTGTAAGAAATAAATAAGAAAATTATTAATATCTTAGATTATCTCCCAATTAAATTCCGATTTCGGTAAGAAAACAGGAATAGATAAACAAATTAGAGTAAAAGTAGCAGATAAGGCCACGGAAACGCTTTGCACAATTTTCCTTTTCGTGACGTTCTCGATCAACCCGTTTTAACCAGACAAAATATCCAGGTTTCCCTTAATAAAAAAAGATAGTCCTTTGGCATTAATACTGACAGATCTACAATATCTGATGTTCGCGTCTCATGTTTTAGACGCATATCCCGTCGTCTACTCGGCGTGCACAATGTATTCGAATAGAATCACGTCCTCTTCCACCTCTATCATTTATATCTAAGCCAAATTCGCTGCATTGAGATAATTATGACTCTCTTTCAAATATTGGGCCTCGGGTTCGATTCCTGCTCACTTTGATTCAACAATCTAATATCCATATCTCATGCAATATACATCTTTCCACTCGGCGTCAGTAATTATCGAGACCCCCCCCCCCCAGGACCCCCTCCACTTCTCTGATTATTGCACGTCTGTTAGATGATCCGACATTTGCTTCGGCAGTAATCGCGCCGGGGCTTATTTCGTCAAAAGTTTAGGGTTATAGTTAAGAGGAATGCGGTTGGATTTCTCATTAGGTTTAGAGTTAGGTTTAATAGGTATTGTGTTGGCCCCAAGTTGAAGTTAGACATTCGTTTATTAGAAGGGATTATCCCTCCAAAAACATGAGTGCAAACCGAAAACAGTTCTCTTTATTCCTAACGATTAATCTGTTGTCCTAGATTATGCTGTATTGAAAGTGGAAAACCTTGATTAGCTCTTACTATTTGTTGTCTTCATTTACCAAATAATCTGCAAATTCATAGCTATTGGCATGCTAAAATACAATGTAATTTGAAGATTTTGGTAATAATATAAACTAATTCAAAAAAGACTGTGGAGCATGCATTGTCAAAGGAGCAAGTGTCGTACTATCGCCAATTTTGGCGGGTAAAGTAGAGATATGGCGCTCTTCCAAACATCGGGCCTCAGATTTGATTCCCATTCATTTTGACTTAAGGCTCCTGAAGCGTAAACTCATTACGGCATGTCCCGACAAAGCTCATCGTTCCTTGGTCTCTATCTTCAGTCATATCATTGCAGGGGAGTTGATCGGTGTAAGCCACCGTGAAGAACATACAATCGATTCATATCCCCGAAGGAAACGAATGTGCTTTCATGTTCAAAGGGTGGAATTTAGCTCTTGCCGTCGACATAATTTGGATGTTTCCACCATTATGTATGTTTTAATACAGAGATCAAAGCTATGACACTGCAAAAATACTTTTTCCGGCATCTTTTAGAATATCTATCTTAGGTTTAATTGGCCGAATTCGTCTATCTAGCCATTGATAATAAAAGATTTTTAGTAGTGCTTTCATGTTAAAAGGGTGGAATTTAGCTCTTGCCGTCGACATAATTTGGATGTTTCCACCATTATGTATGTTTTAATACAGAGATCAAAGCTATGACACTGCAAAAATACTTTTTCCGGCATCTTTTAGAATATCTTAGGTGTAATTGGCCGAATTCGTCTATCTAGCCATTGATAATAAAAAAAAAAAAAAAAAAGTAGTGCTTTTATGTTAGGGTGGAATTTAGCTCTTGCCATCGACATGACTTTTGTGTTTCCACCATTATGAATGCATGTTTCAATAATATACAGAGATCAGAGCTATGATTCAAGACGACCTGCATAAAGACTTTTTCAGTCATCTTTTAGAATAGCTATCTTAGATTCAATTGGCCGAATTCGTCTATCTAGCCACTGATGGTAAAAGCTTTTTAGTACAAGGCCATCGATTCAAAGCAAATATCGGGGCTCTAATTGCTCTATCATTCGGCTCGTACTATCTTAAGTTTACAATGGGCTTGTAAACGCTTCTAACAACCTAAAACATTTGCTCAAGCTGTCATGCGGACAATTTAACGTTAGCATTTTTAGGCCTACACACAATTATTGTAAATTTCATCTTTGGGCAATTTACAAATTGGCGTCAGAGAGTGACCTTATCTTATTGATGTTATACATGATAGAAGGGTTTATGATTAATTTTTAAATGTTTACATTCTGTAATGGTAAAAAAGTCTGTATTAACAATCCATTATTATTTTGAGTAGTACTTGTTGTAGTAGAAGAAGTAGTGATGGTAGTAGTGGCGGTTTTAGTGGAAGTGGTAGTAGTAGTAGTAGAAGTGGTGGTGGTAGTAGTAGTAGTATTAGTAGTAGTAGTAGCAGTATGATTAGTAGTAGTAGTAGTAGTAGTAGTAGTAGTAGTAGTAGTAGTAATAGTAGTATTAATAGTAGTAGTATATATGTTTTGATTATTCATTAATATGGTTATTATCACAAGTAGTAGTAGTAGTAGTAGTAGTAGTAGTAGTAGTAGTAGTAGTAGTACACGTAGTAGTACAAGTAGTAGAAGTACTATTCATGTATATTATCTGTTTTCATTACTTGTTAAATTATTATCATAGTATCATCATCATCAACATCATCATCATCATAAGCAGCAGCATCAGCATCATGTTTTTATATTTAGCGTTGAAGAGGGTAGCTCAATCAGTGACATGCGCTGTTCTCCCAGGATTCATACTCCGAAGGGAGTGGTCCCTAATTTGTCTCTCTCCATATAGAAGGTGAATTTCCACTCATGTACATGAAAGCAGTGTACACCCACACACACCCACACACACACACACCCACACACCAACCCTCGCACACACTACTTGCTAAAGAGTTAAACTACGCAGATATCATGACAATCGCTTTCAGTTAAGGCGAGATAAAATGCTCTCCTGGCAGGAACCAGGAGAGCATTTTATCTCGCCCTTTTGTCATCACTCAACATAATGAATCTCTTTAGACCAGTGGTAGAGGTGTTGTAGTCGAGTGGATACATCGCCGGACTGTCAATCGCGGTTCGAGTCACGCCGCGGCACTAATGTCCTTTGCCAATTCATTGATCTACATTTTCAACACTCAACCCAGGTGATGTAAATGGGTACCTGGCAGGAATTAATTCCTTGAAATTGAAATGCTGGAGCGCTGTGATGGCAGCTAGGCTAAAGCCGGGGTAATAATAAATGTGCCTGGGAATAGAATTTTTAGTTCGACAGCGCTCTAGAAATACCTATCATTATTATTATTAGTAGTAGAAGGAGATCGATTAGAGAACTGAGATAAGCTCTTTTGATGTAGAAAATTAATGCAAGAAACCCCAAAACTCAGGCCCTCAAACCCCCGCCCTCAAACCAAAAATATCGCTGTTATACTGCTCCCAGTGTAATAAGTCTTTAGAAATTGGATTTCCATTTTGAATGATCAAACATAGTGATCCCTACAATAAATTCCCTGAAAAGTGGATCTCACTCATGTATGCACAAACACACTCACACATCCACCACCCTTCTGTACACTACTTATATTACTTAAAGGTAAAGACCAGTTATGGTCATGCGATTGCATTGTGAAAGAAACGTTGTGGAATCGATCAGAAAAGGTTGATCATCTAGTATCTAGCATCTGCTAGGTTCTGGAATCATCAAAATGACAAGAAATTTGGCCCATTCTTCGTAAAGTTACAAGCACTATACACAGAAAGATGTATATGGGACTACCCTATATCTCTCACAGACCATGAGAGAAACAAATTTACCAAATATATGAATAAGTAGGCGGTTTCCCGGCAAATTTTTTATCATCATGTATTAGTCAAAACATATTTTTTCACATGATTGGTAATGAGAGCTTCCATTTCATTTTTTGAAATTGGGGCGTTTCCAATACTGGTCTTTACCTTTAACGGTTACAGTTCATAGACATGATGATAATCACTTTTGGTTAGAGCGAAACAAAATGATCTCCCGGTACCTTACCCATTAACGTGATCACTCAATGTCATATCTCGAGAGACAAGGGTTCGATTAGCAGAAGGTCATTGATTTGAGGACTGGGAAAACATATCCTGATGTTTAAAAAAAAAATGAAGGTCAGAACCCCACGCCTATTCCTATAGAAGCGCTTCTTGTTCAATAAGCCTTCTGAAAGTAGTTTCCTCTATTATTTTCGACGTTTATTCCAAACGATTTGATCTCTGGTATAACTCCCCGAGTAATTACTTTCAACCCTTGTATTAGCTTACTGAGTGCACACTACTTTCTTATCAGTTATGATTCATAGACATGATGACAATTGCTTGTGGTTAAAGCGAGACAAAATGCCCTCCCGGTACCTCTCCCATTAACGTGATCACTAGATATTAAATCTCAAGAGACAATGTGTTAGAAAAGTAAAAGGTGATCAATTTTGGGACTATAATAGGATATCCTGATGTAAAAATCAAACAATTGAAGAACCCTTAACCTCCCTCCCCCTCCCCCGCAAAAAAACATATTAATTAATTAATTAAAACATG